TTATTTATCAACAAACATGTGTTAAAATAATAATGTATAGCATTTAAATTTTTACAAAGAAACTCATGATTAAATAAATAACATAATTATGTAAATAACACTTTTGATATTAATATTCACAATAGGATTGTAAACTTGTTAATAAATAGTTACCATCTCATAAATTCAGTTGTACTGAATTAAATGAATATAATTCTTTAAAAGCTTCAGAAGTATGTAACAGATTGATAAGTCTAACTAATGGACCTATTAAATGCCTATAAAATCACCCATACAATTTGTTACATGTGGTATTAATTAACACAGGTACTTAAACTACGCGGCACTACAGTGATACTGATTATCTTATCAACTAACATTGCATGGGTTCGTTGATACTATCAACAGTGTTATGTAATATTGTAATGATTATCATATCTGCATAGCAGATCAAAAGTATATGCTAATCTGAATTAGAATCACAAATATTGATAAAATCACATAAACTAGTCCTAATTATTATTATTGTAATAAAGAGTTAAATTAGTAAAACAAATATAAGACAGTGTTTTACATGAAAGTAAAATGAAATTATTCATGGTTAATTAGCAGACTTGCACGTATTTGTTGTATTGAACTTGTTGCCGATATCGCAACTAGAAATTCCAACAAATAATTAATATTACAAAAAATTCATTTTTGATATTTTACCAAATTGTTATTATTACAATCAGTCACTATAAAAAGTGTGTTTGTCAGTATAAAAAGTGTGTTATTAATATTCTTTCGTCTTTTAAACGTATGTCTAAATGAATTGTCTACTTATTACCATACACCCCAATATGGCAGTTCACAAGATATCACAGATCAGGTTATTAAACTCCAGAAAGTCTCACAAATGATATTGTATACATGATATGTAAAATTGTCAAGCTCCTTAAGGTGCCTCATGTATTTTATCATGTACTTATATGAAAGATGTATGAAATGGTTCACACTCAAGAAATGTTAAAAAATTGAAATATCTGGAGTCAATTTGTTTTTATATCAGTTTTATTGTTGTAGAGATCGTTATTTGGTTATCTTTGTGTATCCAATACTGGAATGAAGAACATCCAAGTGTTTCCATCCTTCAGATTGTTTGTGGTAACGTTTAGGTTTTCCTTCCTTTACAACTAATTATTCCCTTTACGTGGATGTCCTTCTTTAATGTTTTTGTGGTATAATCTCGTACTTCCGTAATTTTGTATTTACAAGTAGTTGTAAGCAAAGTTTGTAGATTTTCTTCAAGGCTCTCCTGTAAAATAAATGAGAGAGAACGAGTACCTTGTTCTTCTTACAAAAACATAAATTTATTTTCAGAGGTATATTCCTTTAACTGTTGTTTTACATAGTGGATATGCATGTCGGTAGTAAATTGTATTGAAGTATAAAGGTCAGTCGTATTAAAAAAGATATCTAATAATAAAAGGTGACATGAAATAACTGACTGAAGTAATAGAATTGTTGTATACAAAAACTGATTCCATTTTAAATCAGTAAACTTTTTGTAAAGGATCGAAAAATATTCATTATTTACAGCGATATTATATAACTATTAACATTTTGTTTAACCACTATTTTATGCAGAAATAAAAAATACGGAAAAAATATATATATAAATAGTAATACATCTGCCGTATTTTATTAATTTAAGGATTTGTTATTCATAACAAAATCAAATACGTTCAAAAGAAAATCACGAATAACAGCGTTAAACGAATATAACCATAATAGAAGTACCTAGTTGTCTCCTAAAACAATATATAATGATTTGTAAAAATAGACCATTGCTATAAAAATAAATTTAGTTCCCTATTCTGCTAGGATAATGTATAAGGACATGACGCGCAAACATAAAGATTTTGGACATGAATTAACAACAAAATTTTGCTACAGCTACATGAAACATATGTGCGCTAATTATCAAACGTAAAAGGGTATTTATCTTGATAGATTTCTTAATTTGAGCGCACGCGCGTCTGTATTTATTTATTATCATTATTTTTTATTTTATTTTATTTTTTAATTTTTTTTTATTTATTCATTTTTTATTATTAATTTATTCTATTTTTTTATATAAATATATACATATATAAGCATATATATAGCAAAAGAGCTGAAGCATCTGTCTCTTACAACAAAAATGTAAATATAATTTGCATAAATGACCAGAGCTAAATTAGATTTAACTCAACAGTCTGCTGATAAATTATGTAGAAACACTGGACATTACATTATATAATGTTACACTTAAATAGCATTATAGTAGAATTTATGTCCTATATAACGACACAAGATGATTAAAAATAAATCACAGCTAAAAATGTGTTTAGTTTAAATATATTAATGTATTGCTAACTAATTATACAGAAATATCGTAAAGATGACCATAAATAATGATTAACTTATACAACATTACGGTAGGATATTTATCCTACAAGAACACAATATGATTACAAAATGTAATCGGAGCTAAAATGATTTAGCTAAATTTAATATCCTGCTAAATAATAATGCAAGGATATTTTAAAATGATATTATATAATGTTATACCAATATAACATTATAGTAGGATTTCTATCCTACAAAAGACACAAGATGATTTGCAATGAATAACCGAAGCTAAAATAATTTAGCTGAAATACAATATCCTGCAAATAAATAATGCTGGAATATAGTAACAATGACCATTACTAATGTTACATCAATATAACATTATAGTAGGAGCTTCTATCTCCTATAAGAATATGCAAATCACTTGCTAAAAATGATCATTTTCAGATCAAAAATGCTGCTAATATAATGCAGACTTATAATAAATGATAAACAAATAATAAATGTGTTCATATAATATATATCAAAATATGATAGAAGAAACATCTGTCTCTTAAAGTATATGCTTTGCAAAAGTTAACAGAGCTAATTCCGGAAGACTTTAGCTCTTATTCAAACAATGCTATTAAATAATGCATTTTGTTGAATTGGTTACCTTCTATAATGATATATATTAATAATACGAAAACGTATATCAAAAACATTATAGTAAGAGAATCAGTATGTCTTCTATCAAAAAACGCAAATACAATTTGCAATAATGACCAATGCTAAAATTAATTTAGCTTAAAATCAATAGCCGGATAGTTAATTATGCCGGATTATTGAGAAAATGACAAGTTGTAATGTTGCATCAGTATAACATTATAATAGGAGTGATTATCTCCTGAATATAAGCAAAATTACTTGCTTAATGGTCAATTCTAAATGAAAGTTTTATAGTTGCTTATCAAAACTTCTGCTAAAATTATGTAGACTTACATTAAATTATATAAAAATTAGACAAATATGAAAATATGATAGGAGAACATACATCTGTTTCCTAAAGAATATGCAAACAGTAGTCTTTGCAAAATATGACCAAAGCCAGCTTTTATTCAATAAAATGCTTTTAATAATGTTGAATTGAAACTTTCTTTAATGATAAAGAGCGATAACATAATAGTAAGAGAATTAGTAGGTATTCTATCAAAATGTGCAAATATAATTTGTAATTATGACCAATGCTAAAATAAGATCTTTTAATTCGTAGTCAATATATATATATATATTTTTTTTTTTGATGATGATTCAAAAAATATTGAAGAAAATGACCAATTATATTGTTAAATAGTAAAACATAGAGTAGGAGTATGCGTGTCCTGTTGCAATTTAGGCTTAAATTAATTTCCTCTGAGAAGTTTTGACACAGAGTATAATTGGTTCAATTTTTCTAAATTTATTATATACAAGTATACTCAATCAATAGTAATTTATCTGTTTTCATAACGAAAATTTACTTGCAAAATCAATGAAGTTAGATATATTGTTATAAGAACATATAATTCTAAACAGTTTACTCACATAACTCTAATCGTGAATGATGATCAAGTATTTGGAAATTAAGAAGTTCAAATCGTGTTGTCTGGGAGAATTCGCCATCATTTCAGCTATCATCGATGTTTGATTGTCTGTGTACATTATACAATCATGTCTATATATAAATCCAACCAGGAATAATCTTTCAGCATCTAGTAATCCATTTATCTTCTAATCTTGTTTTAAAGATTTATTCTTTTTTTTTACAGAGTAAATCCAAACGTTAATGTTGAACAATGTAAAATGAGTATTTAAAAGTTCAAAAGTTAATTGGATATTTCATAAATGATCAGTGATGGCTGTATATTTCGATAATCAAAATTCCTAAAAAATGTCAGTAAAATTTATATAACGATATATATCCACTTTTGCACTTTCAGTGTAAAGAAAAAAGAATATAATATATATAAGTATTGCAGTATTTAACTACAAATGTGATTCCATTTCAAAGAAAATGGTACTGTATAGAAGTTGTCAATAGCGCGCATTTCATAGAATGAAAGGGTTTTGCGTGATTCATTACAACTTAACCTCCCTTCCCATGTGAAAGTGTACAATTTGCGCACCTCCTGCTGTTATTGTGCAGTCATAAGATCAAAGAAATATACAGTTGTAAATTCCAGACATATGGAACAGATTAATTAACGTTACAGTATAGGCTTGAAATACATATCTTAAAGAAATTGGTGATGGTTACTAATAAAACATAAACGAATTTATATGCGATATAAATTACGATTTTCCACTACAGATTCTTCACAACATGTGGAACAACAAGTAAACAACAGGTACTAAGTACACTTAGAACCTTTTACCCCTAAATAATTTGTAGAAAAGAAGTTATTACAAAATACTTTTTAATTTTTTGCCCTTATAAGGATTGAATATTTATATAATATTTTCGTCAGACATAAAGGACAATAAGTACATTATAAAAAACATAAAAAGTCAATTTCGGCAAAAGTGGCAGTTATAACCTTTTACCTTTGAACCCTCGATATAATATATTATTTACAAATTTATTTATAAATTTGTATTCATATTGTGTTTTTTTTTTACTATTCCAGTGGGGAGCTATATTTCCTAATGAACAGATATCAGAAGTGCAGTCAGCATTGTTTGTTAAAAAGTTGCTTGCAGTTGCAGTTTCTAATATTGCTTATTTAAGAGCTATCTTCCCGGAACATGCATTCGGAGATCGTAGCTTAGAGGGTATTTTTCTAGTGAACCATATCTTTTAAAACAAATAATTAAACAATATTGCTTTGATGTCTTATTTACCAATTATTATATAATAGTAATATAGAGATAAATCCTTCGGCTCCATCTTTTCATATTATTCAATAATTATAAATGTCTGCATAATTTTCTATTTAATTGTTCAGAAAGTCTCTTTTGAAAAATTAAATTGCTGATCAGTTATTTTCTAAATAGGACTAAGTTTGAAGATATTAAAAGATGATGTGTCTTGTCCTGGGGCAAGTCAGGTGATCAAGTGGGTGAAAGGATGCTTTGATGCATTTTGATAGGAAATATGTAAGTTTTTTTTATTGTTTAATATTTACAGAATTAGATTTTAATGCAGTGATGAAAATTTGGAGAATTTTACATTCTGCAAGCATGTAGATTGAAAAAAAAAAATATGACTGGTTTTTTCACTTGCCTTTGAAATCAGAATTGACACTTAAATAAAAACTCAGTTTACACACTGGGTTTTAAATTTCTGCTAATAGAATACATGATAGCTTTTTTAAGTGTAATTTGACTTATTCGACTTGTCATTATTCCTTACATTCATTTCAGCTTCGTATGCTTATGATAGGGGTAAAGTACAAAATAAATTAATATTAACTATTTGTGATGCTAGCTAAAAATTTTATTTCATATGATTTTGCTATTGACTAACTTTAACTTTCAAAAGTATTGATATCAGTTCATTATACCTTCACTGTCAGTTATATTTTCCTTTTATTTCTTGAACAGTCAATGAATTTTTTGTGTGTACATTTGAATTGACGTTTTTTCTGCTAAAAGGAAAAAAAATATTTTTTCAATTTTTGAATAAAACCAAGAAAGTAAGGGTTTTGGGGTTTTAAAAATAAGCAATTTTTAAATTTTTTTTCATGCTTTTTAAATTTTTTTCACAATCTTTTTAAACAAGTAACATATTGAAAAAGTTAAAAGCTTAAAATTTTTACAAAATGAGTACATTTTGCAAACTTCTGGGCTTTTTTTTAATGCCCCAAAATTTTTTTTTAAACAAGAATTTTTTAAATCGAAAATATTTTCCCTTTTAGGGTGTAAAGTGGAAACCAGAAACCCGAGGAATTATAACTAAAAAGTTTTTCGTGGTTTTCTACAGTAAAAATTTGTAACTTTGGAATATAAATGGGTTTTATTGGGTTTTGTTACTTTTTGAAAAAAAAAATTTTCCAGACATTTTGTTTTATTATTTTTATTTTTAAAGGGAAATTTAACACCAGTCATTAAGCTAAAAAGGAATATTCCTCGCATAAAAAACTGGGCACACAGGTAAATTCATTATAAAGTAAAACACAAAAATGTGCATTAAATGGATAAAATCACATGGAGCATGTGCCATTGTTGCACATTTTTTAAAATGCAGAATCAGGCGCCCCCATATGTAAACAATAGCTGAATGCAATGACGGCCAAATCAGTTTCATTACTAGCATGTGGAAAGCATGACAATTTTTTTCATATGAAAAAACAAATAACTAATTGCAGAATAAATAAAAGTAAACTTTTATGCAAGAATAGCACTGTTGAAGCTTTTTTTCTTGATTGCTCATTTCCTTTTGTTATTGATCTTCATTTATTTAGTTTGTTTGATCAAAGTCCTGTTTATCATGCCCAAAATGCATTTGACATCATAAATTATTAATTTGTTTGCTACATTTTCATTTTGTTGTTATTTATTTCAGACTGTTATTGAATCATACACTTTCAAGTTTTCCTATGTCAATGATGGTGGTATTGATATTTACAGGTAATTGGTTCTTACATGTCAGCTTTATACCTATATATTCTGTATCTTTTATCCACCAATACTGATTAAACAAAGTCTAGTTTACATCTTTCATATCAATGATTGTAAAAAACTCTCTTGACCTAAATATATATGTTTATTTTAGAAAAAATAGATGTCCCTGAAAATTTAGATTTTTTTTTTCATTGCAAATCAAACAGAAATAGTGAGAAAATATCTGGACCCACACTGAATCTGAGACGAGAAAGGCCACTATCAGATTGTTGAGGACCATTATACTGGCTTACACAGACACTAGATTCCTTCCTGATGATGTAATGATGACCATGAAACTTCTCTACTATGATGATGGTACTGTATAATTCTTCATTTGTAGCCTTTGCATGAAGCTAATGTGTGCAGTTTGATTGCTTGTATATTTTAATTTAATGTAATGATTAAATTTTTTGCCTCAAATTTTACATGCTTATTTTGTTTGAATTCCTTTTGATTGAATCAAGAAGCATGCGCTGGCATATAAGGATTACATTTGTATACATTTAAAGTCATTCTTATTTAGATTTTTTATTTGAAAAATAAGTCTTACTTGCTCTTTTTACTTTAATAAGTAATAATTTATATGTATAGATGAACTTGAAAACAGAAGTTTTTGTCAGATGAATACCTGGAATTGATTTCACATGAAAAATATTCATTTAATGAAAGTAATGATTACTTTATATATTCATTGATGTTCCTCATTTTTATAGTTGTAAATTCAATCTTTTGTCTTATTTTTGATATACATACCGTTTTTATTGTAAATTGTTCATTATTTACAATTTTATATTGTTCTAAATATTATTATTTTACGTTATTTAGTAATTTGTATGTGGGAATCTGGTCTTAACTTTAAAAAAAATTCAATGACATAATAAAAAATTTAAATCAACAGTGACACAGAAGACTACGAACCACCAGGTTTCAAGGCTGCAGACAGTGATAACTTTGTATTTGATGAAGAACCTATGACAATAAAAGTGGGAGATGTTAACACAGTAAGATATTTATTTTACTGTCAAATGTTATATTTCAAAAGTAACAATTTGCCTTCTATTATAATGCTATAATTTAAGCTGTTATATCATCTGTTGGAAAAGTTTCTTAGAAATTCCCCGTTTTTTCAAAATCCATTTTAGTTAACTCAGTGGCTTCCATTCCATTGAATAGTTATTTCTTTTATTGAAAGTTTAACCCTATTGTGACAGCATGCTATTTATACATAACCAACGAGCGGCAAATTGCTGTAAAAGGCTCTAGATAACAAAATTCTGTTTAAGGTCGCAAAATATTTTTGTCATTTTGACAATAAGGTTAAGAGTTGTGGCTGCAAAAAAAATCAGAGTCTTTTTTTCTCAGTGCATGTTCTGTTGAGGGTTAATCAGAATTTTGAACAAAATTTAATTTTGTTTTTTCAAGAACTATCACAGTGTGAAAGTTCGAGTGAAAACGGACAAGAAACAGTTCACGATGAGAGATCCTAACAGTCAAGAACATGAGATTACTGATGCAGAAATAAATAGTGGTTTAGATACTGATATTAGTATGGAAGAAAATAACAGGCAGGTTAGTTATATGGTAGTGCTTTATGTGAAGATTATAATCTAAATATCCATGACAATAATTAGCTAAGTAAATGATTAAAACAAAAACCCATTAAAATGAGCTCAAGTATGTTTAAAGTTTTTTATATATACTATCCTCTTTTGGCATGTAGAGACAGGAGTGCTCCAAACCTTAAAAAATAAGAAATTGGCAGTATTTAACTATTTCACTGTTATAATGGTGATTTACCATGAATTATCAATTATAACAGTATGAATTTTATTCTTCCTGAATTTCTTTTATTAAGTCTTAGTATAGTTCCCTTGTGGTCCATCCATCCTTCCTTCTTTTATCACTACTTTCTTTTTCTCATTGATATCTTAGATATTTGATGTTCTATAGACATATACCCTTGATTTTTTTTGAAGATTATGTCAAATTCAAGTTCACTGAGGCAAAGATTTTATCTCTTGTCTTCATTTTTATAAAAACAACATCAAGAAGCATCTATCGATCTTTTTAGTATTCTTGTTATTTAACTTTCATGTAGATGCACTATTGTGTTTCTGGCATTCTTCCGAAGTAGATTTTCATCATGCATTAAAACTGATCTCAGCATGCTTATTTGTAGACACCTGTTTGTGATCAACACTTTAAACTTTTTGAGAACAAGTGTAAAAAGCTTTTGAAAAATGCAACAGATGAAAGTTTTTGTTTTAGGGGAAAACCATAATTATCTTTACAGGTTTCCAAAGACAAAGAAGGGATAAAGCATCCTACATCAGGAAATATATCTAGAATACAACAGGAGCCTCAGACTAATGCAAATATTCCTGAAGAATCCCCAGCTAAACCAAGTACATCTACTCTATAACTTTAAAAAAATAATTTAATCAAAGTAGTTTTTTAAAATTTCTAATTTTGCTTATAAGGTATTTTTCTAAATAAAGGGTTTATCTCTTAAAACAAGTTAAGACAAATTATAATAATAGTGTGTTGATTACATTGATTAATTCCAGTTCACAATATCTGCACCTGATTTTGGCATAAAGCATTTTCTTATACATGAGATTAAGATATGCACTAATGTTTATTATCAGTACTATAGTAAATTTTAAACTATTTGCTTATGTTTTGAAAATATGTTTGTTCTAGTTTATAAAAGTATAAATATATTTACTAAGATGTTGAACACCACTATATTTTAGCTACTCCAGCTGTAGATGTAGTTGGTTCACAGACAAGTCAAGCTACAGATCCCGGGGAGGAGTATAAAGTCAGATGCCCCTGTGGCTGCAATGAGGTTTTATTTTTTTCTGTATCTGTATATTGGCTCTAGTTTACTAGAATACTTCAAAATAATACCTGGTATTGTTTTGGTGTTAAATGTTGTAACAACCAGTAATAATAGGTTTAGATTTTTATTCCCAGGTCAGCAAATATTAAGAGATATCAAACGGGCTGCATTCAAGTATATTGTTATAAAGAGTTTTGATAGGTTACATGGCCCTATATATACAGCTTGATTTATATTGGAAATAACCATTGATATATATGGCCAAATAACCTGTCAAGAATCTTTATAATGAATTTATAATACTGCAAACTTCCTTTATTAGAGAAAACAAATTGAATTTCTTCATTAATCGACTGCAAGATTATATGCTGAAAAGTGATGTTACAAACATTTGGTATTATCAAGGGGTAATAACAATAACTTGAACAACAATAACATGTAAATACGTTGTCATCTTTACTTTCACAGTCTTTGGTCACAAGTTTATAATGTGGTTTTCTGCAAAGTTGTGAAAGTTTAAAATTGATACTCTGAGATTATCATTGAATATTTAGGATGATGGTTTGATGGTGATGTGTGCTATATGTAAGTTCTGGCAGCATGGTGTATGTTTCCTCATAGTAGAAGAAGAGGATGCCCCTGACCATCACGTCTGTGATGTTTGTGCTCAGGTAATCACTGTACCTTTGATATGTAACAATTTTAAAATCCATGGTTAGTTTTTTTCTGTTGATAGAAACAACACATCAAATTATGCTGTTGTAAAATTTCATCTAAACAACAAATCTTAATAATAGGTTGCAGATTACCAAGGTGTGTATAAAATCATTTGCCTTGTGCTTCTTTATTATTGTATGTTTTGTGACCATTTTAAGATTATTATAAGCATATTTACAAAATACATGTAGTATGAATTGCTCTATTGTTATTTATGGTGGATTAGCTATGGGAAAGTGTATATCAGAAAAAAATACTGACAAACTCAGAAATAACCAGCTTATTCAATATTGTATATATAATTTTTGTATGTTTTTTTTTAATAAAAAGAATATTTTACAGATTGGTGATCCTGACAGAGAACCAACAGATTTCTATCTTAGTGAACTGTCATCCATCCAAATACAGGTAAATAGTGTTCTTGTCATTAAATCAGACTAAACAATTTTTAAAGAATGCTTTATTTCTTTGTTTAATCTTAGTGTAAACAATACAGCAACTGCACAATTTGTTTTTAATCAAAACACTGATGGGTATATTCAGTATTAGATATTGTGCCTTATACAACTGTTAGATGTTTCATGTCTTTTCTTTAACAATTCAAAACCCTTAAGATTTTTTTAGTTTTCTCCTTATACATTGTTTAATGTGAATTGAATATAAATACAAAGTATACAAAATATACTATAACTTTTGCAAACTTTAATGAATTGAAAGATAATTTTTTCCACAAATTAATTTGCATTCCAACTAATATATTCCTGCCATATTTAACTTTCTGATACAGAGATTTTGTTTTTGTTTTCAGGCAACTTGTTTATGGAGGCGAGCACTCATTGCTTGTCTGGGATTAACTAGGGTACTTGCTCCAGTACTAGCCAAGCGACTAGGAACAGAAATGACAGTTGCACAAGGGTTAATGAACAGACTAGATAAAGAGGGATTTCTCAAATCTGCTGGCAAAGGGAAAAAGTAAGATTGTAATAAAATTGTTGTCTTGAGTATGAACCTTCCTAAAGAAAAGGAAACCTTGCAACTTTCCAAACTATGATTGTATCTGTAGCTGTTTTTTTATATATATTTCAGTAGCAAAAATTATAGAATTAATTCGTCCTGATAAAGGTCAAGTATTGACCGAAATTAGTAGTTGTAAATAAAATAAAGTGTTGACTCGTATTACTCTCTTACTTGGACTTATATTGATAGTTTATAATGGTGTGAACAAAATGTTGACTTTGGCTAAAAGATTTGAGCAATTTTCAGACTGGGGAAACTGGTGGACAAAGAGAAAATAACAAATGTTGGCATTCCAAAATACATGAAAAAACACGAGAGACAAAAAGAGGCTGATCATGATAATAAGAAAGAAATGGTTAGTAAAGTTAGTAATGTTTTTGTGAAATTTAAATGATTAAAGAACATTTAATTACATGCTGTCTTTAGTTTTTGAATATTTACTTAAGATAATGAAGAAGAAAAAATTATAAATATGTCATCTAAAGCAACGGTAACTAAGAATTATGTAAGAAAAAAATGGGATGTATTTTAAAGCCCTGACTTGTGACATTACATCAATTGTATTCAAAATATTTAATAATGAAATAAAATATTCATAGGATTTCTATAGGTTTTGTACTCATCTCAAAAGCTCTGGGCACTGGTTGATATCAGTTGATATATGTAGAAACAATTTAAGTGAAATTTACAGATTTTGGAAACTGTTTGAAATAGTATAGGTACATTTAAAATTGTGCTTTATTCTGATTTTAATACCTGTAGAGAATTACATTTTTTTCAGACACAAAATGATAAAGAAACAAACAATAATATGATGGATACCCAAAGTGAGGTAAGTGATTTGTCCATGATTGAATGGAAAAAGTCTAAATATTTGTTCTATTTTAGTGAGCCTTTGCTTAAGAAAATGTAAAATCAGTGCTCTTTATATCATTTAAAGTTGTTTTTTGATCTCATTTAAATCCCTTTATTTATTGTACAGTGTATATTTGTTTACAGTCATCTAATTTAGCACTGGCCCAGTGGCACATGGCTAGTGAAAATTAGTTTGGGCCAGTGAAAATTTTAACAAAATGTAGTTAAATATATAGTAGAATAAATTCAAAACTGAAATTCGGGCTAGTAAATTCGAAATCTTAAATTCATTGACTGTGTTTATCTTATATTTATCTCTAGGTTGATAAATTAACAGAGAAAACAGAAAGTTTGAAAATTAACAAAAAGGGAAAATTATCAAGAAAGAAAAAGAATCAAAATGGGAAAATTGAAGAGGTAAGAAAAACTCAACAAATATCAAACACGATCAACCTTGTCATTCAAAGAAAAGAAAGAATTTGTTAACTTGTTTGTATTTTTAAATGTAGTTCCATTTTTAGGTAAAATGGTAACAATCTTTTGTAGTAATTCAGTATATACGAAGTGACAAATATATTTTAGAATGTGTTTATATATATTAGGTAAATAAAGAAAATATAACTTATGAAGAAAATAAAATTCAAGAGGAAAATGACAAGAAAAGAAAAGGCAGAAAAAGAGCTGTTTCCAAATCTCAGGAGGTAACAGTTTCATATTTATCAATTTTCTTTTTTGATAACATCGAGGAGTTCAGGTAAAGTAAGTCCTACAACACTGTTAATATCATATGGTTATAATCAAGTAATAAATACTTGAAAATTGAATGAAAGAAAGAGAAAGGCAAAACTGTTTTAAGCCTTTGAGTCTTTAAAAACTAGAAATGTGTCATCATGCCACGGATGCCCCTGCATGCAGCCAAAATTTCAGATGGTGCATTAATTTTTTTTTTTCATTTTAAGTTCAAAGCCCTTAAAACTTTTCAATGTTAACACAAACCATTTTCATACAATGTTCAAGGCACTGAAATTATTCAGTCTTAACCTTTAAAAAATAGCATATTGCATATTTGTAGCCAAAATAATGGCTAAAAGTATGAGTGCTGAAACTGAAAGTTCAAAATTTTCCCAACATTCAGGAAAGATAAGTTTGTCTAAAATCATTGAACCACAACCAAATTCAAACTTAAACTGCTTATTCCTAAGATGTATCCAGGGCTCTCAGTAGGGTCAGAATTTCACGAGTCAAAGACTCTTTGGCTAAAATTTTCATGAGTCAAATAATTTTTTTCTAGTGTCATTTGACTACATGTATCATTTTTATGTTACAAAAATAACTGTATTGGAGGTCATTTTTGGAGATTCCAAAGTCTAAATTGACAGAAAAAAATGCCTAATTATAAATGTCTATACCCCCACCACCTAAAAAACAAAACAAAAAACAAATAAAACAAAAACATGAATTGCTGTGAAAGAATAAAATAAGCAGCAGCTTTTCTGATTAAATGTATAAAATATAAAAAAATATCTTTACTGGTATGCTATATCATATTAATTTTAAATACCAAAATGTACCAGGAATATTTATAAGAAATGCACAGGTACTCCAAGTAAATGAAAGACGTATTATAAACCTTCAGAAGCAATCAATAATTGACACCTCAAGTATGTAATTCTTATCAGTTGTGTAGAGCTATTTTTAGCGCTGTCAAATTGCAGCCACTGAATTGTCGCGCTTCAGTGCACAGGGTATAAACAATTGCCGTGTGTAAAGCATTTTATACACATCTTATACTGCCTGTTGACATTTTTTATGAGTGTGATTTGAACACAAGTCATGTAGGATTTGATAGATAATTAGGGGTGGATTTAAGGTAATTATTATTGCATAGCTGAAAATCCCATGTGGAAAATTGACTCTTGAGCAGATTTTATCACGTGTCAAATATGTGCATTTCCCGATTTTCACGAGTCAAAACCCGGATCCCCGTGTCAATCGAGAGCCCTGTGTATCTATATTTTTTTCAAAGTAAAAGGGACATAACTCTGCCAAAGATCATTGAACCATGACCAAATTCTAACTTGGCCTGGGCATTCCAAAAACATATCCATCTGTCAAATTTGAGTTGAATGTGTTGTACCATTGGGGAGATGATAAATGGAAACTGAAAATTTCATATTACTTTCAAAGTGAAAGGGGCATAACTCTGCCAAAAATCATTGAACCATGACCAAATTTAAACTTGACCTGCGCGTTCCTTTGACGCATCCATATGTCAAGTTTGAGTTGAATGTGTTGTACCTTTAAGGAGATAATGAACGGAAACTGAAAATTTCATATTGTTTTCAAAGTAAAAGGGGCATAACTCTGCCAAAAATCATCGAACCATGACCAAATTCAAACTTGACCTGTATTTTTTTCATGACATATCCATATGTCAAGTTTGAGTTGAATGTGTTGTACCTTTGGGGAGATAATGAACGGAAACTGAAAATTTCATATTATTTTCAAAGTAAAAGGGGCATAACTCTGCCAAAAATCATCGAACCATGACCAAATTCGAACTTGACCTGTATCTTCTCATGACATATCCATATGTCAAGTTTGAGTTGAATGTGTTGTACCGTTGGGGAGATAATGAACGGAAACTGAAAAATTCATATTATTTTCAAAGTAAAAGGGGCATAACTCTGCCAAAAATCATCGAACCATAACCAAATTCGAACTTGACCTGTATTTTCTCATGACATATCCATATGTCAAGTTTGAGCTGAATCTGTTGTACTGTTGGGCAGATAATGAATGGAAACTGAAATTTCATATTATTTTCAAAGTAAAAGGGGTATAACTCTGCCAAAAATCATCGAACCATGACAAAATTCGAACTTGACCTGTATTTTCTCATGACATATCCATATGTCAAATTTGAGTTGAATGTGTGCAACCGTTCTTAAGATAATGAACGGAAACTGATGATGACGGAATGACAGAAGGACGGAATGACGGAACAGGGTAACACTATATGCCCCGGCCATTACATGGCGGGGCATAAAAATCAAAGTAATCCTTCTCTTTTAAGAAACCAAAGTTTCTGTGTTACCTTGATCAATAAATTCCCTTCTCGGTAGACTGCCAAAAATTAATGGTCTATTAAGTCCTAAAACAAACCTGTATATATTGTTATGATAATACAATAATTTTAGTGCTTGCATATTAAAACAGGACCAAGAGTTTGAGCTATCTTCTACACAAGATGTTTTTGATGATCCCAAGAAGAGGAAGAAGGCAAGCATTGTTAGCAAAGACATTATGGTTTAATCATGACCATATATAAAATGAAGGAAAGAGGAAGTGAAATGCTCATTTTAATACTTTTATTACATGTCTTGATTAAATTTAGATCACTCATATATTTTGGCATATGCATTGTGATCATTTGAGTAGTTTCAATTTAATTTAAGGAGTTTGACCCAACACTGCAGTAATTTGATTGACTTAGATGACAAAAATAATGTTGCCATGAGACATCCATATACAAAATGATTTAGTCACCTTATTATATAAAGCAAGTGTTTCTAATGTTTCATAAAGTTTTGAAGAAATGTAGAAATTGACCTGTAAAAAAGACATGCCTGTATGTTAAATCATACACAGTAGATCTCGTAATATTGATCATTGATTAAGATTTGTTTTTTGTTTGTTTTCTTAATGTTGCAATAACATACTTTTGATTGTACTTGTATCTTTTAGTAGAAATAGTCATTGTTAATTATTCTTTATACCATTAATTAAATTAGATTTTAAGGATAATTTGAATAGGCTTCTATGTGTATTTGTTATGAAGTAACTTGTTAAGCATTTTTGTTTTTTAAAATGAAGATATATGTGCATTAGCTTTTGCAGTTTACTTTATACCTTGTTGTGTGTGTGTTGTAAATATCAAAATTTGTTGAATTTTAATTATGATCCCAGCTGTGATATATTAATGTTAAGTTTTTGTTGTAATATCTGTTGTTAAGGCAATAAACCTTTAAATTATGCAAAACGTTTTAGTGATTTCTTTTAAGCCTTATATCTTGTTGATATTTTAAGAGAAACAATTATAAGTATGTTTTATGTTTAATTTTGAAATCTATAATTGTTTGTTGTTACCTCTTGTCTATGAGATGTCAAATATTAATTTGTTTGTACTTTAGCAACACTTTGAAAACTTTTAAGTCAGTTTCAAGTTCTGGAATTCTTTACCACTAGTATTACAACAAACTTGTTTATTGTAAGAAAATGTCAACTTACATTGTAGCATGAATCAAAAGTGGCATATAAGTTGCATTGGTGTAAAAGTAACTTCATTTGGTTCAATTGTTATTCAAATTGTCATCCAAAGATCTAGAGCTGAAACTCACTTATCTGAGGTAAAATCTTTTTACAAATAAATCTGCCTAAACTGCCACAAATTGCTTCAAATTGTTTAATATACAACACAAGATCCATATAGATTATCCTGATTTTATTGATGCACATTTATAGCACTAAACAACAAGACATGTGTGTAAAAAATCTAACTGTTAAGACATAACAGCAAGTAAAAGCGTATCATGTAGTTAGAATAAGCAAAAAGAAAGTTTGTAATCTCGAAAAGATTCATAAATAAAAAGTTGGTGTCTTCTGGCATTTCTGACTTGTTCCATAAGGTAATTTATTAAAGAAAAATAAATCTGTTACGCATGTTACATTTATTCTGCTTAAAAACTTGAAACAAAATTGTACAATAAATTTATCTGTTGTAATAAAGTTTACATTAATTAATGCCTGAAAAAAACAAAAATAATTATTAAGGGCAATAACTAATTGGTTATGTTTACTAATTATGGACTATATTTTCTACTCTGTTCTTTATCAGTATTACATTTTAAATTGCTGATAACACTTAAACCAAACATTATTATACACTTCCTGTTGGATGCTATTTCTTCACAGAGACTGAATCAGGAATATATTGAATGTTCTTCACTGACTGGACCAATATTTTGTCACCTTAAGACTTGCTGTCACAAAAGTTTTATTTTTGGGTCATTTACTTCATCAAAGATCATTTAAATATTGCTTTTTTATTATTACCATGATACAATTATAAAGTAATCTACAGACTTTAAGCACCAAAGCTTGATTTCCCCTCTAAATTAGTGCTAGAACCAAACGAAAAAAGGTTCCTTTTTACTGGATTTTTTTTTAATATGAAACATAATTGCTTAATTAAAGAAACCAGCAAATAACAAGCATTTGATAGTATTGCGGGCAATACAGTAGTCCCCTACCGGTCCCTCAAAAAGTTCTTTAATTGTCATACACTCCTGTGTATTGCCATTTATAATGAATTTGAGGATGAAGTCTGTATTTGAAAATATCGACCACAAAACATAATAAAACAAGTTTCATAAAAATATTTCCAGTACTTTTTGAGTTATCACTGGATTCCGTTTATGTGTAAAATTTGCCATATTTTCAGTCTATGTGTTGCCATAGCAACCAGAATTTTCAACATAGGAAGAAAAGAAAAAAACGTGCATAATTTCAAGACTGCCATCTACCCATATGTCAAGTTTCATAAAAATATTTCCAGTACTTTTTGCGTTATCACTGGATCCAGTTTATGTGTAAAATTTGCCATATTTTCAGCCTATTTGTTGCCATAGCAACCAGAATTTTCAACATAGGAAGAAAAGAAAAAGACGTGCATAATCTCAAGACTGCCATCTACCCATATGTAAAGTTTCATAAAAATATTTCCAGTACTTTTTGCGTTATCACTGGATCCAGTTTATGTGTAAAATTTGCCATATTTTCAGCCTATTTGTTGCCATAGCAACCAGAATTTTCAACATAGGAAGAAAAGAAAAAGACGTGCATAATCTCCATACTGCCATCTATCCATATACCAAGTTTCATAAAAATATTTTCATTACTTTTCAAGTTATCGCGGGATCCAGTTTTGCGGACGGACGGACTGACGGACTGACAGACGGACAGACGGACGGACGGACAGACGGACGGAGGGTAAACCTAAAGTCCCCTCCGGTAAACCGGTAGGGGACTAAAAAAAAACAATTTCAGGTGTTAATATATTGCAATATTTTCAATCAAATAATGAAATATACAATTTTGTGTATGTGTAATCTTTCATAAAATGTCAACATCTAAATTTATTTACAATTCTACTTTTAAGTTATTGAAAGACATGCTTTTTTTGATAATCTAAAACTACATATACTTACAACAATTGGTGACAAGATGATAAAATCTGCAACTTTTAAAAGTTAAAAAATGAATGAGAGACACAGCAACATCTGCAGATGTTTAAAATATAAGGCATGATGTATGAATTTATTTGATATTGTTAAACAAAAGAGGGTATTTTTAGATATCTAATTTTGCATAATTCTAACAAAAAAAAATTACCAGGTGAATTGCAAAATTAGAGTTAAATAAAATGATATCAATATGTTTAAATGTGAACTTGTTTTTATAAAAAAAAGGAACAAATCTTCCTTAATCTAGACTTTGTTATGGTCATAAAAAATTTGATATCTATTTCATTCTCTTAGCGTTAGAAATAGGTATATAAAAAAACCCTTAAAGTGAAGACAAAACATCCATTTTTGAACTTAAATGTCTTTTAAAACATCATTCTTGCATGTTTTGTTTAAAATTTATCAATAATTGGGTGAAAAAAAGATCCAAATTACAACCATTATCTATCAAAGAACAGTTAAAATGACTCAAAATACTAAACTCTATAAAATAAATAAAGTTACATTTCCTAGTTCAAATTAAGACATGTCCATTATATACAAGTCAAAGAAATATACCCACAAAAAATGATCAATTTATACACATTATTTAATGCATTTTTGAAACAAAACAAAAAACATAATCTGACCTGCAGAAATTTATGATGATAAAGTTGATGGATTTTATAGAAATGAATTGAAAAAAATATAATTAAGCAATGTTAAGTAGTTGAATATAATACCAAATTTATACATAGCAACAATGAAGAAATTTACAAAACTCTCGTAATTAGTGCAAATATGGTAAAAACTGTCTGTTGCTTTCTTTCTGCTAACATTTAACTTCTAAATTCAAAATTTCACCATTTTCGTGTTAAATGTTAAAGGCGTGGACGGTAACTTGCACTTTCCAGTACCGTCCATGAACAGGCTCAGTCAAACCGAGCCTGCAACATTATACAATTTTGCCGTGTTGGGCTGTCTCAAGCGATTCTGTTTTTCTCTATTTTAGTCTTTAATTGTTAATTTAAATTATTTTTCTTAGATAAAAACAAATGAAAAAGGAAATTTTTTCTTTATATAATTATATGCATTATGGAAACCAAATGGACATTGTTTTTTTCCTATCACTTATCACAATACTCTAAACAAAATCAACTGGAGATAAAAATTATTATATGTATGAAAATATCAACTCATACAGTGCTTGTAGAGATGACTTGCCCATAATACGAGTATTGTAAGGCTAGTCTGACCTTATTGTTAGTCCAGCCAAACCTTATTGTTAGGCCAGTCTGACCTTATTGTTAGTAAAATTTGATCTTATTGTTAGGCTAGTCTGTCCTTATTGTTAGGCCAGTCTGACCTTATTGTTAGTAAAATTTGATCTTATTGTTAGGCTAGTCTGACCTTATTGTAAGGCTAGTCTGACCTTATTGTTAGGCTAGTCTGACCTTATTATTAAGCCAGTGTGATCTTATTGTTAGTAAAATTTGATCTTATTGTAAGGCTAGTCTGACCTTATTGTTAGGTCAATTAGACCTTATTGATAGGCCAGTCTGACCTTATTGTTAGTCTAGTTTGACCTTATTATTAGGCTGTTCTAACCTTTTTTAACCCAGCTTGACCTTATTGTTAGGCCAGTTTGACCTTATTGTTAGGCCAGTTTGACCTATTTGTTAGGCCTGCCTGACTTTATGGTTAGTCAGGTTTTACTATTTTTGTTACGTCAGACTGATTAGACACAACCCTAGATAACTGCTCAATCTTACCATTTCAATAGTGAAATTTAAATCACTCAGACACATATTAAAATGATTCTCAAATTAAAACTAGGCAAAGTATATCATACATATTCAGCACAGTTGGGGTGAATTGCTAGAACAAATGAGCCACGTCATGACAAAACCAACATAATGGGTTTGCAACCAGCATGGATCCTGATCAGACTGCGCGGATGCGCAGGCTGGTCTGGATCCATGCTGGTCGCAAACTCATTATGTTGGTTTTGTCATGACGCTGCTAATTAATGATTAAGTAGTTTAGTTTACATCATTTTGACAACATCCTATGATAACTTACACAGTACTACTATACATTTATATTGTGTAAGTTAAGCACCATCAAGAAGAAATATTTTGTACACTTGATTTACAAATGTTTGTTAAAGCAAAATCTGATGAACACACAAGTACCTTAATTTGAAAAGAATCAAAATTTATGCAAAAAGCTCTGACAAAGTTCTGAAATTTTTATTTACATTATTCAAAAGCATATCAATCTACAGTGAAAAGTGGTGTCCATGTGTTTCCCATGTACGTGCATACACGGGCAAATATTGTTTCTAATTAATATCCTTGAGTGGGGATGAAGATGGAAAAATTTCACTTCTCAGAAAATGTTAAACATTTTAAGACAACTGAACTTTTATTATCCTGACTTTAAAAGGTGAGTAGTGTAATTAGAAACGGTAACTATAAGACATGTTTACAAATTGAACACCTTTCCAAATAAACAACATCAGACTTTAGTAAAGTTTACACAGAATAGCATGACCGACAAATAATAAAATTGCAAGGTTTGATCACTATGCTTAAAAGACATAAAAAGCTTTAGAGTGGTCATTCTAAAAACCAGAGAGGGTCTCGTGTAAAACTGATTCTGAGAATTTTACATCTGGATTATTTTCCGCCCAATATTTACTGTACATAATTTTTGACATATTGCAGCGCCATTCAAGAAAGTTTTCCTTAAAAAAAAACAAAAACGCACCATTTTACATTATCATCTTTTGCATACAGTAAAATATTGAGGACAAATGGTTAAAAAGTATAACCTTAAATTTGAGATCTTTTGGTTAAATAATTAGATACAAAACATAATCTCAGAATGTTTGCGCCAATTTTTTTTTGTTTGAAAACATCATAAAAAGAATAGTATATACATTGAATAGCAACCCTTACAGAAATTCAATTTATTCAAACCTTATGATAATTTAATTTTGGCATGACAAATTTTAATAAATCTTTCTCACTATTATTAATATAATAATAACATACCAATAATTTACATGTACCATACAAACAAAGTCAGTAACATCTATTTCATCCATATTAACCCAATAAATATTTTACACAGATTTGTCTATATTCAGGAAAAATGTCAAAATAAGCACTGATAGAAATGTAAACAGTGCTATGATCAGAGAGCATGGATGTGCCGGCTAATCTTGGTCTGCACTGGTTGCATGGGTAGATTCTGTATCCAAGATTAAGGTTAACCTTTACCCTGCTGAAGGCCAAAGTGATTAGTCTTTGCCACCAGTATAGAGCCAGGCCTGCTTGCACATTCGTGCAGTCTGACCAGGCTCTATACTGTTGGCTGGCCAACTTGAAATTCTCACCTTCATATCCCTTAAAATTGATTAAGGACTGTTCCAAAATCGAAATTGGAAAAGTCCATTTAAGAAATTCAGTAGGTTACGGGTAAGAATGCATTTGTACAATGTTCTTTTGATAAATCTTTCCTCTGAATCCTCCCTAATCAAAAATATCTATCTGTTGCCCCATGTGATGTCATTTCTTTATTCCATCATCATTTATAAATTGCTACATGTATATATAGTGTGTTGTTTTAGCCATTTCAATGCTAAACTAAAAGGCAACCCATCCTTGCCTATGTCACTAAGATAAGAGTAAGGTTAGCCTTCCAAATCCTGCAACCTTTTCTCACTATACTGTTGGCAGCTTGATGTTTATTATTATAATAATAAGTTATTATTAAAATCCCCCACATTAATTTATAATAGAAAACTCCATATTTAAAGTATATTATCATTGTGTATTCTACATTCATTTTTTTTAAAGGCTATTTTACTTCTTAAGAATGGTGGTTTTGCTTATAAAAAAATACACTGCCTTACACTGTCTACTTATAACCAGAATTTTCACATAATGTATCAGACTATTTTTAGAACCATCTCAACGACCAATTATATTGCAGACAGAACCTTCAACCAATCAAATTTTATATTATTTTCCAGTATGTTATAATCAGTTTCCATTCATCTGTACAAATTTGTGTTTTATGTTTTAATAATTGAACTTCTGATATAAAAACTGGTATCACTTGCAATAATTTTGGTGGGCGTGCAACCAGACTAAGCACAGTCTGTACACATAAAATCCACTTTCAGTAAACCAGTCTACTCATCATCACTTCCTGTTGCTGGTGGGGGGTTAGGCTGGTTCTCCAACAACTCCAGAATATGTGATACAGTCTGTGGGCGACCATCATCTCCTAACACACTCGGCTGTATTATTCCCTGTCTGAAAGATTTAAAGAAAAATAACTACAAAACTATTTATACAAGAAAAATTGCCTTACTTGTTACGGGAAAAGCCTCAATCAATAATTTGGCCCAATTTAATGAATTTCAAGATTAATTTTTTAGTAAAAAAGGTAAAGGCACACAAGAAATCTGTTAAATAAAAGTTTTCTTGCCAAGTTTTCTTACCCTAAATCATTTAAGAATGTCAGCATAAATGGTAATGGACATTTTTACAAGAAAATGCTTTGGAGAACAAGGGCATGGTTCAACCTCTTCAACTTCATGCATTAAAACTAATTCTTGCATAAATCTTCACATGACGGGGTATTCATTAACAGAGAAGAAAACATGCATAAATGGATTAAATCATGCAAGCATGACATTCCAGCATGTTTTTAAATATGTGAGACTTGGGTCATAATGTAACAGTTTCACTATCAAAATATAATTGTCAAATGAAATTGCACTATCCTATGAAAAGTCTGCCAAAAATCGATTTCTTAATATGAAAATGTAGAATTTCAAAAAATGAGACGTATATCTGAAAGCAAGAATAGCTTTAATGCATCTTTTTTCGTGAAAGCCTTTTTGAATTTTTGTGAAAATATAATTGAGCCGCGTCACTACAAAACCAACATAATGGGTTTGCGACCAGCATGGATACAGACCAGCCTGCGCATCAGGATCCATGCTGTTCGCTTACAAACCCTATAACAAGTAGAGAAACTGATAGAGAACAGCATGGATCCTGATCAGACTGCGCGGATGCCCAGGCTGGTCTGGATCCATGCTGGTCGCAAACCCATTATGTTGGTTTTGTCATGACACAGCTCATATTAAATTCAATCAATGTTTAAACAAACCTGTTCAGTTTGTCCATAGCTTCTACAAGTTTCATAGCTTCATATTCTTTTTGTTCATCTGTCATACCTTCCCAAGGTTTTGGCTTCTCCACCTCAAATCTACCAGTTACTGGATTTACACTGTTAGGGAAAAATAAAGAGGGTTAACTGAATGTATTTTATCAAAGCAGAAATTTTCTAAGTCTTTTTTTTTTATATAAAGCTTTACATAAAATTAAAGCTTTTTTTTTAAATTGAACTTTGTCAGGTAGAATATATCTGTCTTATATTCATCTAAATTTTTTTGACCTCTGGCTGCTAGTTATATAACAAATTTCTAAGTAACTTTAGTTTGTTACAAAAATCAATTTTTACCATTCCGCCATATTAGAATACTCTTCAGTTTCGGAGTCTTCAGAATCACTGGAGTAGTCTCCCTGACCTTGACTCTGGCCGCCACACATGAGACCTCTATTTGCCAACAAACCAGCACAGTTCCCGTAACCAGTGTACTTGATCATTCTATTTACTAAAATTTATACAATTAAAATATCTTAATATACCATTTAATGTGTTTATAGAAATATATCTTACAAATTATGTAACTGACTGTTATAATTATTACTTTACTACAAGTAAATGACAACTTCTACACATGAGTCAGAAGTCGAAGATCAAAGTTAAATTAAAAGGAGCGGTGGTATAGTGGTTCAAGTGTCTGCCTCTTAACCCAGATATCATGGGCCTCATTGTTTCGAAAAATCCCTTGAGCCCATCCAAAAATTGATTTTAAATACTAGTACTTGTTTTTATGTCATTTCAAAATGCACAATTTTAATGAGATTTCTAAGAGAATCCAATCGAAAAATGTCAAATTTTATCTTACAGATTATTTCAGTCAAAATGTTGGTGAATAATTAATAAAGGTAATATTTAGATATTAATTGTTCTTTAATCTCTTTTTTGTATTGTATATTAGACCCCTGAAAAAGTAATAATATTTAGAGCCATTTTAACAAATTAGCACACATACCACTTTCTTTGCACAAAACAAAAAGAAAATCTGCTGCAAGTTCCTTCACCTCTAAGATTGGTGACGTCAACAACTTACACAATCTGCAATCAATAATTACTGAATTCATTCTCTTTGTGCAGTGAAACAAAAATTGTTATTAAAGCAGCATGCCTCCAGAATCATAGTAATTTTTTATGAAAAGTTTGAAAATGTATTTAAAAGTGTTATATTTTGCAATGAACAAAGAAAGTAATTAACACATTGCAAACAGCATTAAAAATCCACATAAATTATCAAAAAGAGGCCAAAATATGCAAAAATAGCCCTTATTGTATTAGTCACGCAGTAGAAGTATTGTGATAAATACTGCAAAATCCATCACTAATTGCACATAATATGTCAATTATAACTTGAATCTGAATCTTTTTACTTTTCATAAAATCTTAGTACACTTTTCTCAAGTTTGATTAACTAAATTTTTTTTGGCTCATCTTTATGCATACATTAAAATCCCTTATACTTACAATATTCACTCTTTAATTTTAAGCTGAACAAGGTTTAAGATTTAGTCTCAAGAAGAAGAAATATAAAATTTTGAGAGTTGAAATATATTCTCACAACAATACCTGTTTCTGAGAGTGCTACCTTCCTCAGGTAAATGTTTCACTTCATCTTTCAATGGAGGCAGCACCTGTCAATATAAAATTAATACAAAATTGTAATAACTTTTTTTAATTTTAATAGTCAATATGATTACTTTGCTCGAGAGTTCATATAACATATACATAAAATGCAAATGAGCCACTTCACAGTTTATTGTATTTCTATCAAAATTAACAAAAACAAAATTTTTTTAGTTTTCATGAACACACATACATGATTGTTATAAATGCAATGTTAGATATGTGTTATTTCAGCATAAAATTGATCTTGTAAATAAAATTGCATTCAATATATCAAAAAGTCTCATTCTGTACTTATTCAGTCTTCTAATTCATTCACCATTCGAGCTATAGCTTCAAATAGGGTAGGGTACCATAGGTTAGGTAAGGTGAAATAAGTATGGTGAGTAAGTAAGTTAAGTAAGTAAGGTAAGTAGGTAAGGGAAGGTAAGTTAGTAAGACTTTATTTAATGAAGCAACACAGTTGGACAAGCCCAGTCTTCCTATGAGCCTCAACAATGTACAACACAATTTATAAAACATATAAATACAAACCTTCATTCTACAGAATTTTCTGATGGATCTGTTAGCTCTACACGTCTCACACAAACAATGCAAGATCGGTGTAAGACTCTCTTTTAATGACTTTGGAGGCTGAAAATATACAAATTTAGAAACATTACAGCCTTGTTGCTGTTTTGACATTCTAGTTTCTGTCTTAATAATGTATTATTTTTGCTTCTGATTAAAATTCAACTATTTTTATGGACTTTTGTTTCATGGGCATGTCAGAATAAAGAGTTAAATTCCTAATACAGTATCAGTTGATATAGCATTTGAAATAGTTCTTTATCACTCATAGTTATCAACTTCCAGAATATTTTACTTGACATCAGAATTCTAAACAATACAGTACGAAAAATGTTTCTAAACAATACAGTATGAAAAATGTTTAACATTTTACACTATACAGCTGCTTATATATTAATATAATAATAAATATTTTAAAGACTGAAGTATAAAGTTTTTACCCTATCTAGTCGCTCATACAAGAAGTTAAGGAGTATCACGACAGCTTCCATATTCTTGCCGTCATATTCCACCTCTTTATTCTCAATACCAGTCAGATCAACCTCTGCCATGGGAGCTAGAAGTTCCTCATAACAATCTCTCGGCATGTTGATTAATAAATTCACTGTGTGACTGAAAGAATTAATCAACAAAGTTTTAATATTGGTGACAGCCCAAATTATCAAGATTTAAATATTGATTAATAAACTCCCTGGTTGACTATGGATATTATTTAAGCTTTTATATAGATTAATAAATTCACTAATAGGGCTAAGAATGATTAAGTTTTTACAAGTATGTCAAAGGGTGTCTTGCAAGTTCGGAATTACTGCTTGTATAATAAAAATTCCAAAAGTTTTTCATGGAAATAGCACTGTTTTTGCATAACATTGGAAGCATGTTCGCGCATGTTTCATTTGAAAAAAAAAATATATCAAATTCAATATAATCTATAACAATTATTATCCCTAACAATCTTGAATTACAAAACAAGCAAGAAAACAAACTAAGCAAGGTTAACTAATGTACCTTATTATTTCTTCCCTTTTATCTTTAGATGCTGTTTTACACATGAGAAGATCTCTGAGTACACAAACCAGTCTCATCATATGTGCTTCTTCCTCCTGAATGAAAACAACCCTATGATTGGTCAAAATTATATCACAAAGTCAAATTCAGCCAATCAGAAGCTATGGTTTATGACTGGTTCCAAATCTTTGATTTTTGTTATAAAACTGCAACAATTCTTAAAAGAGATCTTATTTTGTTTGATGATAACAATACAAGAATATTAAATATAGTTGGTTTAAATACCAGGAGTGACATTGTATAAAATAATAAAGGGTCATTAAAAGAGTATTTTGATCTCGTACTTTTCAAGGACTCTACTGAATACTGTGCATGTAATCCTGGCCCGAGCAAAATGAAACCCCCAAGTCAAATAAAAGTTCCAGATCAGGATACTTGTTCTAACAACCCTATAATTCAAATCACTTACTATCCAATGACACATAATTGATAAAATATAATTGGGTTTGCGACCAGCATGGATCCAGACCAGCCTGCGCATCTGCCCAGTCTGATCAGGATCCATGCTGTTCGCTATCAGTTTCTCTATTTGTTATAGGGTTTGTAAGTGAACAGCATGGATCCTGATCAGACTGCATGGATGCGCAGCCTGGTCTGGATTCATGCTGGTCACAAACCCATTATGTTGGTTTTGTCATGACGCGGCTCATATTTTACCTCGTCTAAGTTATTTCTGTCCACAGTCACTGTCAGATTAAATAGAATTTTGAGAATTTCCGAGCACAAATCTACTTCCTGGTCAGTGAGGCCGTTGTCACGTGCCTCAGCATCTCTCAGTATTAGATCTATGACCTCAATCAGGTAAGTGAACCCGTGCAATTCGAAACGTATCTTTGGCCTGAAAAAGATCATTTGCAATATTAATCAAAAACTTGCTTAGATATTTAAAACATAACTTTTGAAATAATGATAACAGATACAATGCATAGGTCATGTGACCTCTTTCTGACATTGCAGGTGGAAAGAGACTCCTAGCCACAATAGTATAATGTCAGATATACCCAGGCTCCTGTTTAGAAACCACTGTACTTTTAAGTTTTGATGCCCCAAATGAAAATAATGAAATATCATTTTAAAAAAACAAAAAAAAGCATCAACTTTCACTCACTCAAATTAACACTAAATTAAATTAAATGCTCAAATCTGATATTAGAAAATACCGATGAATTTCATACCTTTCAATAAATTTCAGTGATTATAATATTTTACTCAAGGAGCATAGTATATCTTTAAACACACAATAACAAAAAAACTTACCTGGTATCTGCACAAAGTGCTGTCAGAAGAAACAACAGTCTCATGTCATAGAACTAAAATAAAAGAAAACAAGTTTCTAAAATACCATCTTTAGTTTTAAAGCTAAGTTACTTGATCACAGTACAGTCTACACTTTGTGACAACTTTTGTGAAAAGCAGTTAAATTTTCCTTACAAAAATGTATCTATTCAAAAAAGGTAACCTCCAGTCATTCTGGAAACCTGTCATGATACAGCCTGAAAAAGTAGTGATGCCAAAATTTTGCATTCAATATGATGTAGGCCTGAAAAACATTATGTTTGTGATGGTCATATCTACTTTTATTTCAGAAATTGAAAATTGTCTTATTATATATGAAACTGTTTTCATTCCCTTTCTGTTTTACATCTGACAAACAAACACTGTGAATGTCATTGAGCAACCCTCTAGGTTTACTGATAGATTAATTCCATGTGTGCTTGTTTGTGCATTAAAATTAAGCAACAGCAGGTTAAGCCCCTTACTAGATAACATACCTTGATATCAAATTTAAGATCGGGGTCCTTGTATGTCTTCAATCTTTGTACAATACCTTCAACACACCCATTTTTACTGAAAATATATGTACAAATTTGAGCGGTTTATTTGCATGTATGTGCTTTTGGTGAACTGAGGTATATAAAGCTTGTCATTAACTGATGTTGTTCATTTTTAGACAATACTCCTAATAATTGTTATTAAAGCCATTTTTTCTGTTACTTCCTCAATATAATTGCTTGATTTATAAAAAGAATGTTTCACTTGATTGTACATTCAAACAAGCATCAAAATACATGTAAATGCAACAGTTACTAGTTTACTGACTTTTTTGATATCATTATCTTTTTCTTAACAAAAAAAATTTCAAATGTAATAAAAAAAAAATTTTTTTTTTCTTCATTATTTGAAATTCTTTTTTTCTCTCTGTCTTAAGAAACAATATATTTTAACACATAAGACAACTGATTGTTAAACTGCATAGAATGTTTATAAAATCAAACCTGCATGCTGCCTGGGCCTGTGCACTGTTGAATATGAGGTTACATAAACATTTCTGAGCTTCTATTGTAACTGAAATTAAAAAAAAAACTATCATGTTACAATACAATCAACTTTATTATCATTTTTAATTTTTATTAAACAGGATTTATGTCACGCTGATATTGTAATGGTAATATGGAAATTCTTCAGTTTAACAGTTGCGGCTGCCAGTAAACAGTGCTGGTACATTAATTACTGAACCAGCAACATTACTTCAAGTACTGTTCTTAGCTTCATCAACTAGCTAGATAACTTCCTTGTATGTAAGTATCAAAAGTCCCTTGTAGGAATCAAATATACAGTGGTGATTGTTAGTCTGTTACTCTAACCATTCAGCCAAAGAGGCCCCAAAGAATCAACTTTATATCTGAGCAAAAAATCACCTTTTAACATCCTTTATTCTACACTGGGTGGAATATTATAACCAACGAAACAAGACTGATATGGTGTTGTTATAGAATTTACAGTACCGGTACTATAATGATATTCAATACAATCAGTTTTTAGATTCTAGGTTGATTAAGGTAAAACATACCGGACTGCATATCGGGGGTTGACCACAAAACAGCAGGAACTTATATGAAATAAAAAAGGACATATAACAGTTTTGTGGTCAACCCTCGATATGTGCTTCTGACTATAACTAATTTGCATACTTTTTCACTAAAATATCAGCATCAATTTCAGATGACATGTCATATTATACTGTGCTCCTCTTAGTTCATGGTACTTAACGCTTTGAAACCAGAAAGAAAACAACTAATGAAACTTATGGTACAAAAATTGTCATAAGCTATAACATATAGGTATTTTCTGCTGTATGGCACAAGAAAACAACAATATATTCAGTCAAAGTCAATTTTAATGGACCGAATGTAGACCATATGTCGACCATTTTGAAAACTGTATGTCATCATTTAAATCGCGGTAATGGTGTTACATTTCAGTTTTTTCATGTTTCTATTAAGATTTTTACATGTTATTTTGCTTGATTTTAAATATTAAAATCATCCTTACATTGTAACTCAGAATTTATTTCTTCAACAATCAATAACATTTAGAAAATGATGATTGTTTCAGACATATGCACAAATTTAATGGACTATTATTGCTTTTTGCAGAAATTTGTAAAATGTTGTTCTGTTTTACGTAAAAATCTAGAGATTTAAAATATTTTGCACAAAAACTTTGTTGTATAGGTGTATGAATAAAATATGTCAATTCTGACCAATTTTAACACTGGTCACATGAAAATATGCCATTACCGTGAAATAAGTGATGACGCGGAATTAGTGATGTTGAGTATATATAGAATCTATTCTATATTTTATATGAAAAATAATTAGAAATCCCCATGTATTGTTCTCAAAGTTTCAAATAGTTTAATTTAGACTTAGAACTGTCTTTGATTCAATGGAAAGTGTATCTATAACATATTGATATCAGATGACAAATATTGATGATACATCAATATTTCAATAATTAGTTTCTTGCCTATAATTCACAGTAAACCTGTTTAAATGATTTCAGTAAAATACATGTTTTGTTCATATAATTATGAAGGTAAGTTTCCATATTGCATAGATTTTTTTTACACTTGAATCTTTTGTCATCACTGCCATGAAATATGTCCATTTAATTTACATAACAACATCATAGTTTTAGACATGTAGTTCAGGCTTCCACATGTTTTATGTGAATTTACATAATCTCTAGACATTTCATTAATAAGTAAAATAATATTGATTTTTTTCAAATCTCTGTATTGGTTATTGATCGGCAGAAAAATACTTACAATACATCAATACCGTTTCAATGACAGCTCTAGCTTAGTTATTTCATTAATTATATTTATCACCTGAAGCTAGGTCAACTCTTTCCATAATTGTCAGAGGTAAAAAAAAACACATAAAAGAAGCTAGAGGTGGTTTTTTGACATGGCAGGACTGAAAATAATTTTTCGAGATTTAAATGTTTCATTAATTTTTTGACGTAGGTCTAAATCAATGACTTGTGTGCAAAATTTCTGATCATTCACTCACTCTGCTTTTCCAAAATAGTTATTTTTACTGAGAAAAAAAGATCAAAAATTGAAAAGCATTGCAACGCTTTTCGCACAAGTAGGACTAAGAATAACACAGAAATATGATCTTCAATTTATTTTTAAACATATTTTTTAATTATCCTTTGCATATCTGTCTTTTGAAAATGCCCAAGCTGATCTATGTAAGAAATTAAAATTTAGTGTTTATGCTTTTGGACCTCAGTGGAGTTCCTTTAATATTTCATCAAACAACAATATTTGTAAATAAATTTTATAATATTCAAAACTTTCAGAAAAAAAAAACATCAAAAAACAACATCATCAAAAAGCGTCTAAATATTTTGTAACATACCGTCTGCATCACCAAGTTGTATTGTGATTCCATTCTCTGCCTCCCCCTGTTTAGCATAGTGTTCCAGTCCAGCTAACCTCATAAAATGGACCAGTCCATTATCAGTGATCATAGAACCCAGTCTATTTTTCTCTCTGCTAAACAATCTCAATGTTTGTAAACATAAACAGTAAAATTTGGACGAAGCTTTCTGTGACAGGCGAGCAAATAAACTCTCTGTAACTTTCTGAAATAAGTATATAAAGGTATCTCATAATTTTAACATGAAGAAGAATTAAGATAAACCAAAGTGGTTTTAATTAAAAGGAAAAACACTTTTATTTGATATAGGGTAACTAATAAAATTATAATAAGTTAAACAACTAAAATTTAACTGTAACAAAATTCTTGCTTGATACTTCAAGTATTTGAAACAATTTCAATAATATTTAACTTGAATAGGAAGGTGATTCTTGGCCATTATTATCAATGGATATGCGCTGAACATAGGCAAGAACATATAAATCAGACTATTTCTGAATGTTATACTTTTTAATATTATCTAGGAATATACCCCCTGTTACATATATTAAGATAATCCTCGGGAATTTGAAATATATCATGACAACAAAAGCCCCCAAAAGATTAGACAAAAATGCATAGTAACAAGACATTTTGATTTTGGAAAAACAAAATTCTTTTATATTAAGTTATGAAAGTATAAAAAAACTACACCATGTGACTCGATGTTCTTGTTGCTTATTCTTCGTTTTTTAAAGTTTTCCATCATGCATTGCAACTAAACTGTTACATCTTGTAGATTTTGATTTGATTTTTTTAGACTGGGCTGTCAAGGATTGCCTACGAAAGTGCAAGCACTTATTTCCAGTAGGGTCCTCACCTCAGCAGACACTAGAGACAGCTATGAGATACAAGGGAATCCAGGAACCAGTCCATAGCTCTTATTGAATAGATCCCTTTGTTCTTTTACCTGCCCTGTGAGTGTAAGGCACTGATACATGCAAGGATTACTTGGGTTTCGTACCAGTATACATGTACCTCTAGGTAGGTTGAAAACACTACAAGTGTTTCTGAAAAATCCCAAGGGTGTTACCCAGGATCGAACCCGGAACCTCGGGAGTGACAGTCAGTGGTTTAACCAACTGACTGAACTGAGGTATCGCGCCACCCAGTTTTTTAAAATAATCATGAAATGACCCTGAGACCATCATGTACATTTTAGAAACATGACATACTGTTCATCTTGAAATGAAGAGTACTTCGACAATGGCTGCGGAAAATAAACAACAGAGACTTGTCATAGAGTAATTAAATTTTGCTTTTACAAGAAAAGTAGAAACTTTAGACAAAAATCCTGAAAAATCTCGAGGGTGACTTTTTTTAGTTTACAAAAAAGTTTTATTTTTCATTCAATGTCGTTTTCTTAATTCATACCAGGCAAAAGTTCATTTCCATTTTTAATGGCACAGACTGTCACAGATATAGTTTTCCTATGTATGTGTTAAAGAAATGACTCACCTCTTTGACATCATCTGTAACATCGCTGAATGTGAATATTTGTGCATTCTGTAAAGATGGGAAATAAACAAGAAATCAAATTATACATACATAACTTAAGTTGAAGCTTTTTTTCATTAATAATGTTCTATTTACATAATTATTTAATGCCAGCAATGACCTGCACCTGCATACAATACTCAAAAGTGTGTGATATTCGAGTATCTAATAGATACATTAGGATACATACAGGTATTGATAGATATTCAAAATTCCTTTTAAATGAAGCATTTTAAATAAAATAATATATTGTTTCAAACTGAATCTACGTCAATTTATCTGAGATGAAACTCTACATAATATTGCCATTAAAACCAACTTGCATTTATGACTAACTCATCACATATGTTGCAGGTGACAATATTATAGAATTTAAAGATGAAATTCAAGGCATCCTACTTCATAGATTTTAAATATAGTGCATAGTCAAAGTATGGACAACTGGCCAAATGAAGTAAAAATATAACTCTTTTTCCAAATCAGCTATATTGACAGATCCTCAAATATCACATAAATTCTCTCAGTCCTTCCAACAGACACATTGCAGTGTTATGTGAGCCTACCTTCTGAGTCCAGTCACCCAGTAACTGAATTATTTCTTCCTCAGTTCCATTCCTAATCTTCTGAACAGTTGTTGCATCCATTCTTACACACAAGTTCTGTATCTTGTTTAACTCATATCTAAAACAGGGTAAATAATATGCAATTCACTTCACTTTCATCGATTTTGACAGTTCTCGGCAAAATTATAATTAGGGTTTACTTTACCCTTACATAGTTGAAAATAAGGTCGCTCAGACGAATGACACATTTTTATTTTAAAATATATAACTGCCATACGGGAGGGAAAAGACGGTTTTATCCTTGATATTATATAATTGTTAAACACTTTGTGCAAGACAAAACATTACTTTATGACAAATTTAAATGGAATATATTGCTGAAATAAAATACAACCTAAAAAGTCATTAAAAGTAAGCACAATATCATACATTAAATGCTTTTCTAAACTTACTTTTCATTGGAAGGAGTTCAGTAAATTCAGCCAATCAAAAATCATGTTTGATGGAAGTAAATAGTGATAATTCCTAGACTTGCTTTTTATCATTAAAAATGCACTAATTTTCATTTAGATAGAGACAAAGAATAGATATATACATAGGTAAAATAAACTATTTGTTTAATTTTTCAGACCATGAGGATATGACACGAAAGTCTGAACGTATTAGTCTGATGTATGTATTTGTAATCAGTTTTCGCGACTATGATTTATTTGCTTCCACTACAACTTAAGGTTATTTATGCAGAGAATTCTTTTATTTCATTTTGAAATTTGGTTATCTGAGATGATTTATGAGCCATATATTTGTTGATAGATGTATGTGTAATTAAATGAGCTGATAAGCTGTTAGAATTTCCCTGTTGAAATTGGATGTTTTGTTTGTTTGTTTGATTTGGGTTTTACGTCACACCGACACAGTATAGGTCATTTGGCGATGTTCCAACTTTACTGGTGGAGGAAGACCTCAGGTGCCCCTCCGTGCATTTTTTTCAGGCACGAACAGGCACCCGAGTAGAACCACTGACGTTCCGTAAGCTAGCTGAATGTTTTGTAAGTGTAAGCCTGTTGTGTTTGATGTATGTTTTAGTTTAAGCAAGCTCATACATCTAGAATTATGGTAAAGGAAGTATGTTCAAGTGATGGTTTAAAAATTTTGCTTGGCCGGAAATATAGCAAAACTATAACTTATTAAGTAATGAGATTGCCAACTTCATTGGAGGTTATTTTGGTTCCCAGTTCTATTATTATTATATTTGGAGCACACCAGGAATCAGAACAAACAGGGTACCTGCACCATTATTTACCGTAGCACGCTGGGAAACAGTTTTTCTGGTTTCCTGCCTCATGGTTCTCACTCAAATTGACATTCGGCAAAACCTTGCTGATTACCATCAATCCTAATGTCTAGTATTGCATTTCGTGAAATGAAACTCTTGGGGCATTCATGATTGTTTTATAAAAATGATTGTAAAATACGTAAAATTTGACTGATTCAAGTCAATGGAACATTTTATGATAAAGTACAGGCAAAATAGTTACCTTTTTAACACAACATAATAAGAAATGAGCCTTGCCATGACAAAACCAACACAGTGCGTTTGCGACCAGCATGAATTCAGACCAGCCTGCGTATCCTTCCAACTAAAATTTACGATAACTTGTTCTTAACCAGCGAACATTTATGATTATATTCAAGCATTGTCAGTATATATACACTAATCAATAGCTGTAGATGATATTGATATAGATTATGCATAAATGATTGACATACATGCATTATGCAAATCTTACTGGAAGTACATATACTGATGACGTACTACACAATTATTTCGGAAAAATATTGAAACTAATTCTATATGAAAATACATTCTGAATTCAAAGGCCCGGATTTTTGCAGGCCCAAATTGGATTTTACAAGCCTTGGGCATCGGGCATGTGTCTTATGTCACAGACTGTTGTAAGCGAACAGGATGGATCCTAATCAGACTGTGCGGACGCACAGGCTGGTCTAGATCCATGCAGGTCGCAAACGCATTATGTTGGTTTTGTCATGACACAGCTCAAATATGGAATAATAGACATGAACATCGAGTCAATATGAACTTCTTGAAGGCTTTCAGGATGTCCTTTTCCCGCAAAGAAATTATAAATCCTGAAATATGAATATTTAACTGTTACAATACGGTAAAATGAGTATTGTAATATATTTATTGAAGACTGCATGATCTTCAAAAAAGCAATAAAAAGTAAATTAAATCAGTACTTGAATTTCTGATCCATTTGAAGTAAAAAAAAACCAAACAACTAATCTTTTTGTGTATTTAGGTTGAGTATGTGTAATGTTTTCTTTAAAAATATTTTGCAGAATATCAAGATGAGTCGGGGTAGACGGCAAGTTCTTCAACTTAATGAGCCAACACCGAGAGTTTTGTATTCTAATGAGCCTACCAATGAAATGGAAGATGATGATGGTAAATAAACAAAACTATATGCCTGCCTTCCCCCTTCCCCCCCCCCCCCCCCCCAAGCACGAAATGCTTGAGGGAAGTGTAAAAATTGTGATCATCTTGTGCCTGTCTGACATTTGTTGTTCGTCATTAACATTGAGCAGAAACAACATGTCGTCTCAAATAACATAGATTAGAAACAGGAGGAAAAATATCTTCATTTGAAAGTAAACAATTTAGTGGATGTAGACCTGTAGAATGATCTCTACCATTCTTTTGCTTTGAGTTTGAGTAACATGGTGTTCATTTCTTTCATTTGAAGACACTATATGTTGACTCCGGCATTTTTTTTCTGCTAAAGTACAAGCTCTAGTCTGAAATGCACAAAATATATATGGTGTCTTTTTTTCACTTCCTCCACCAGTAATGATTTAATCTGAAAAGCTTGTAGTGTATAGATGCTGATGTGAATATTGAGTCTGGAATAATGCATAGAGGGGACCCTAATATAAAGCTGGACATTTCTAAATTATCTAAATTATACAGAATGTATTTTAGTTAGATTGTGTAAGAAGCTATAAGTTTATAGACACATTTAAATCCATTTCTGGAACCAACCAGTTGTGAGCAATGAGTGTGAAGATTATTGCTTAAAGGCCCAACTGGACTATAAAAGCCAGCAGATGGCGCTAGGGCAGGTTTCTTATTAATTTTATGCATGCTTCACTTAAGGGACCCTTTTTCAAAGATTTAAGATTAATTACCAAATGCATTTAAACAACACTTGGCATGTATGTAGGCATAGATATTCTTGATATAGATTGACCAAAATTATTCAAAATAAAACTTTGTTAAGTGTGTTTCTGGAAAAAAATACTGGCTGTCAAATTTGAAATTTGAATTTCCATGGGAGGAGCCAACTGATCATTACAGGTCATGAACCTTCAGTAGTAAACAGATGCACGTGACAGTGTTTATTTCAGTGAGAGAGATTTGTAGCAGACGATATATATTTCAGGGAGAGAGATTTTCAGCAGACGACACATTCGAATGCTGAATACATGATAAGAAAAAACAATAACTTTTACTGATCTTACTTTATCAAAAAGTATTTATATCCAACAAATTTACAATAATCCATTAATCTATGATTTTTTTTAATTTCAAAGTACTGATTAAACTTGTATTTAAATGGTTTAAACTTCATGAAAACAGTAAAAGTAACTTCCAGGTATAGTTCATTTACACAATATATTTTGTTGTAAGTATCTTGTAGTCAAAATAACATTTCACAAATGTTTATCATTTGTATAAAATTTTTATATATTAATAGTTTAATAAAATTTTAAATTCCTGTCAAGATCATTTTTAGCAGTTTTTCTTAAAAGAAATGTCCCATGTAAGGCTATGGATATAGTTGTCTGACTTGATGAAAAAAACTGACTTCAAAAATAATATCTGGACAAGATGGCTTGATAATGACTTTTAATTAATCTGACTAATCTGTGAGTTATATAAAACATCCATTAAACCTCTCCTGTGTAAAATCAGCTGTTTTGTTTATATTCTCTCTGTAGGTTAACACTGCATTCTATTTTTAGCTCATGGTTTATAACAGACAGTTTTACACCACTGATTAGTCACACCCACAAATACTCGCTGCCGCGGCAGCGAATGTTGCCCCTTTAAAGAAACAATGGTTTGCCCCTGATGGGATTTGAAACCACCCAGCGTTCCTTGGATTATTAGTCCGGATGGCCATGCGGCCGCATTTGTTCAAGTTGATACAACATTAAAATGAGCCGCGTCATGACAAAATCAACATAATGGCTTTGCGACCAGCATGGATCCAGTCAAGCCTGCGCATCCGCGCAGTCTGATCAGGATCCATGCTGTTCGCTATCAGTTTCTCTAATTGTAGTAGAGTTTGTAAGCGAACAGCATGGATCCTGATCAGACTGTGCAGGCTGGTCTGGATCCATGCTGGTCGCAAACCCATTATGTTGGTTTTGTCATGACGCAGCTCAAATAATCTTATGTTTGTTTAGATGACAGCGCAGGAGATATGCCTACACCAGAGCGTCTAGTAACAGAGGATATGCTTCCAAACAGACCTGGTCATAGGATAGGTCCTGGAGGAAGATTTGAGATGGACAATAAAGTTGCTAACTTCCTAGCTGTAAGATTTCTTCAACTTTTATATTTCGGAGTGGTTTGGAAGCTTACATGTACATGCACTGAATCTGAGATGACTTGATGTTGGCTGAAAACATACTGAACTATGATATTTCATACATTTAGCAATCTGAACTTGCTGGAACCGAAAGTGTTAAGCCTTTGCCACCAGTATAGAGTCAGGCAAACCTGCTGATGGGCACAGTATACAGTTGGCAGCTCAATATTTGTATTGTGATATTTAAATCCCTATAAAAAGGCAAATGTACTGCTCCAATTCAAAACTGGACCCCTCCATTACACATAATCAGTATGTTATGGGTTAATATCAAATACCAATTGCCAATGTTCTTATATATCACAATGTAATTGACAGTGCATATTTAATTCCATATTTTATCTGTCAATAAAATGTTACCTTAAAAATTTTCCATACACAGATGTTTATTTCAAATTTTTTATTTTCACAATTTTTTTTATGGCCTTAAATCATCCCCTTACTAGTAGCTCTTCACATCATAAGTCAAGTTTGTGCCGGCAGAAAATCCAGTGTCGGCCAGTTGAGTCTAGTAAATTTGTTATGATATAATTATTATCTTTTTGGGTAATGTTTATAATGTTTATTTTATATACCGGTAATAGGAGATAGATGCTTTAGATCCTGGGATTGATGGCGAGGCATCAAGGTCACCAGTGTCAACCAGGAACCAGGCACCGTCACCAGTACCGGAACAAATATATACACCTCCCAGGGAGAAATCTCCTGTTAGATCCAAACCTAATGCTTACAGGTTTGATATATATATATTTTGTTGTTTATTTTTTTATCATTAAAATAACAATGTTGATAATAAACAATTACATTAAAGCATGTTAATTGAAATTTTCACTTTTATGAAAGTGACACATTTATATCTAGTGAATCTCAGTCTGTAATGTGTATGATTGAAGTGATGAAACTATTTATAATTTATGTTCATTCATAGACTTTCTTATAATTTGCTTAAACACTATTATTAGTCAAAATGCTTTTGAAATAATGCAGAATTTTTTTTCTATTTCTTGGCACAAATAATCTTTGTGTATATCAATGCTGTATGACAAGTAGCATATTAAGATGATGTGGGAAGAGGCCAGCACATAGAGTCATACCTTTGTCTGAGGCCATCTCCAGAACAGGAATAGAACACTTACTGAAAAACATGCCACCAAAGGCCAACACTTTAGTTTTCATTTTGCAAAATTACATGTACTTCTGATAGACCACAAGTCATCAAAGACAATTTCCCTCAATTTTGACTTAGTTATAGCTAAAATGTATTTCATTTCCATTGACAGCAATATGTTTGTAAAGGGAACCCCAGAGTTTGTGAAGAAACCAGATGATGCACATGATAGTAAGGGAGTCAAGAAACAAGAACCGTGGCCTGAAGGTGTGATACTAACTTTAAAAGGACTTAAGCAATAATAAACAAGCTGTCAGTAGGACAGCATGCTCATCTATTGTCAGTGCTTGAAAATAAAGAGCCTGGATAATATAGAATTTTCTAAATTCAAAAACTGTCTTTCGAAATCCATGTTAGAGTTATAGTCCTTAGACAGTGACCACAAATTATGCTCTCAAATAAGTATGTCAAGTTTCAAATAATTCCTTTCAGTAGTTTTGTAGTGACGTACTGTGACGCAAAAATTTAACCAACATGTTATGCCTGCATGGTTGAGTACAATAGCTCTCCCTATTCTTCGTATAGTCAAAATTAAAAACTAGACAAAGAGCAGCCTCTATACTTTTCTTTACAATATATATATATATAAAATTATATAAAAATTATATTTTATATAAAAATTATATTTGATAAAAGAAAGTAATATAACATAAATATAAAATTATATAAAAAATACATGTGAAAAAAAAATATACTACTGTCTATTATGGAGACCGGACCAGAAACAGAACTTTTTTTCGTAACATAGTGTTAATACATTCATTTAATTTTGTCATAGAACCTAAAACAGACTGGCAGCAGCTTACAGATGAGAAGACAAACTACCCGTATTACTGGAACATGGTTACCAATGCCGTTGTCTGGGACATGCCGGCAGAATTCTCGCAGTACTTGTTACGGCAGAAAGAATATGAAGAGAAGGTTGAACGAGGGTTAAGAGAGGGAACACTGGATCCAGAACAGAGAATAAAAAAACCTGAGGCCCCCGTTAAACAGTGAGTACAAATTTACAGAAAAATGTCAGGATATTCTCGTGTCATGATTAATGTCCATCCTTTTCATAATGGACACTTAATTTAATTATGAAATTAACTGAATTGCAGTACTTCTGGTACTTTTTTTAAAGCAACACCCTTGTAGGAAACAAAAGATTTTGAAGTCTATTACTCCAGACCACTTGCTACTGAACAATGTGTTTGAATCTTGCCAGGGACTTATGGATTCATTAATGTCAGGTTGGTTGTTCTATTTAGGTGCCTGCTGATGCCAGAAATAATAAATGGAGAGTAATTCATAGTCTTTCTCCACCAGTAAAGCTTGTAAGGAAGTTGTCATAGGACTTTTGCATTGTTGATGTGACCTAAATGAGAACAAAAGTGATCGGAAATATTACCTTGTGACTTTGACTTTTTTACAGACAAGAGAAAAAAGTTGAAGAAAAGGTAGAGGAAAAGTCTGAAGTTAAAACTGAACCAGAAAGACCGTCAAGATCACAGAGCAAACATAGTAGACGTGCATCCCACAGCGAGGACAGTAGTAGTGACAGTAGTGACAGTGACGGGAGTCAGTCTCGTGTCTCACATCGTAACACTCGTAAAACCAATCCGGACAATCCACCGGAGGTTTCGTCATCCTCCGCAGAGAGTAGTCGCGCTGCTAGTCATGATAAGGTGACAGTGATTTAAGATTGAAAATAGATCAAACAATTTATAAACTTATTAAAGAAATAGATTACTGAATTGCCCATTATGCCTCAAAGATGTTTTTATTTTTATTTCTCAAAATTATTTTATTTTTCGGTCTACTGTTACAACATCCACAGAAGTAATCATCTGCCATAAAGCTGAACTATCTTTCGCTTTTTTGGCAATTTGTACGGTTATAGTCATTTTGTAATATGTATGGAAGTCATTAAAATACACTTTGTGTACGTTTTGCTACCATTACGGCAATTTATTCCAAATCCAGCACTGCATACTTCCTGTATGTAATATATATTATGAAGCATCTTACATTGTAATATACATAGTATTTTGTTTTTTTTACCTGCTTTCTAAACAGTGCTTATCACATAAACCATTGTGCAGGAGTGTAATATAGCCACTCGTGAGAATACTGTTTTTAAAGCTCACTCGATGAAATAAAATTTCATCTTACACACAAACAAACAAAATTAATATCCTCTATGTATTAAATAACAGAGACATTCTATGTTACAATTTTTTTTGGAATCAACAATATAATAATTGAACCAATATAATTTTACTGTTGATAAATTATATTAAGATATTTCATGAGATATAGATTTATACCCTTTAAACCTTGATTCAAACACTGATTCAAAATCCTCTATGTATAAATAATTTTGTATTATTTGTATATTTGTTTACAGTTTTTGTTTATTGTAATATTTTTATAGGCAAAGAGATCAGCTACCCCTGAACTTCCAGATAGCACGAAGCCTGATGCCTCCAGTAAACAAGAAAACAATGATGAAAGTATGGACTTTGATATTGATGATATAGACAAGGAACTGGAGATGGCTCTAGAAAGGAAAAGGGTAAGTTATGTTTTGTGGAATTATCTGATTCTGTACTTGACACTGAATCTAGGCCTGTTTTAAAGGAGTTTTGCTAAGAACCTAAAGCCCAAATCATTGGAATTCCTATACACCAACCTGGGCTCTTAAATTGGTACAAATTGCTAACACAAATAAAGAAATATAGTCTGAATTAAACTGAAAATGTATTTGTTTAGCCATTCTTAACCTGATTTGTGTTAAAGGAACTCCACTGAGGTTCAAAGGCGTAAAACATTAAATTTGAATGTCTTATGTAGACCAGCTAGGACACTTTAAACAGAAATATGTGCTAAACTTAATTAAGAAATACTCTAAAAAAATAAATTGAAAATTGTATTTTGTGCTGTTCTTACCCTGATTTGTTTTTGGTTGTTATTCACAATAAGAAAAGTTATTCTGGAAAATCAGAGTAAGGGAATGAACTGAAATTTTGCACACAAGTTGGTCTAGACCTTCAACAAATGGAACATTAGTCTCAAAAAATTATTTCCAGTCATATCATATCGAAAAACCTAAGTGGAGTCCCTTTAAAGGTATTTTAATGGTTTTTCTTTATTTAGTAATTTGACTCAATAGAAATGATAACTGGAAGTATAGAGAGAGTGAATGATCTAAGATTTTGCACACATGCTATTGGTCAAGACCTTCATCAGATAATATAAAATCTTCCAGCCCCTATATGTCAGCAGTGTCCCTTTTAAAGTATTTTAATATTTTAAATTTAAATTTTCTTCATAAGTCATTTGCTCAATAGAAATTATAACTCATGAAGAACAGAGAGAGTGCTCCAGTCCTTCATCATATATAAAATCTTCCAGTCTAGTCCCTATTTATAAAAAAGCCTTAGTGGAATCTCTTACATCTTGTGTGTCAGATTTGATATTATATACTGTATTTTAACAGCAAGAACTGATGAAATTAGAAGACAAGAAGAGTGACAGTAAAACAGACAAAGACAGATCCTCAATTAAAGATAGAAAGAAGGACGAGAGTAGACATCGTGATGATGATCGGAGAGAAGATCGACACAGACGGCATGGGAAACATCGGGACTCGGACCGGGACAGGGACCGAGACCGGGACAGGAAACACTACCATGATAGAGATGAAAAGAAACCGAAGCTTACTCTGAAAGAGAGGTTAAGAATTGAAATGGAGTTAAAGGTACTTTACTTTTTACGAACAATTTTATTTTGTATCTGGTCACTTGGGTTCAGTTATTTAAAAAGCTTTGATGTAATTAATTTAGAATGTGTTGCATTAATTTATATTAATGTAATTTGTATGTTGTTGTATTGATTTATTTACACATTGTCAGTTTGAGTCGAGATATAGTTTGCTAAGGCAGATTAGTAAAAAGTTAACATTTATTTGCTTTGAACCTGGAGTCAAATAGTAAATTGAATATACTGGGTATTCCTTGAATGAAAACGTAGAATAAATTTGTCTTAAGTTTAGTTACTTTTTCTTGAGTAACATTTCAAATCATATGAAATTATCGATTAAGATGGAAAAGGAGAGAAGAAAAAAACGTGCAATTGAAGATTTGATGGCGCGAGAGCTGGAACAGACAGTTGGCCGGGATGGCGGCTCCCAGAAACGTCCACGAGACGAGAAACCCAGCAAACGTTACCGTCACGACGATGATCGTGGTGATTACCGATCACGTGATGATTACGGAGAGTATAGTAGAGATTATAACACGTGGGATGGTCGGGAGGCTGCGTCATACGATGATAGGTAATGTTTATTGATAGTAAAAAATGATTGAAACTTAAAAGTATAATTTTAGCGTATGAGTGGATGAGTGGGGAGGGGTCATGAACATTTAATCTTTGATGAAAGCTTTTGTTTAAAGCAACTTGTAAGTGTAAGTATGTCAAAATAGACAGTGAATTGATAAAAAAGAGAGATTTAAATTAAATTGAGATCAGTTTTTAGATCCTCTTGACACCTTAAGACCCAATGCCATCTTGAGAATAAAATTCTGTGTAATATTTTCTATATAACTTATATAGGAAATCTTTGATCGTGTAATTTGTCTAGGTTTGTTCCGCCCTCGCACATGAAGGCACCACCTCCCACAGATGAGATGATAGCCTACGAGGAAGAGAGAAGGTCAAGGGTTGTAGATTACGGTCACGGTAGATCGAGTCGGCTCTATGACATGAATGGTAAGTCATCGATTTGTTCTATAACTTCTTTTTATTGATTTGTTCTATAATTTCTAACATTTTATTCAAGTACTTTAATGTACTTACATTATATTTAACATTTTGTCTGTAGTAAAAAGTATTACATGTGTTCGTCTAGAAAGAATAATGTACATTTGAAAAGAATTTGTATATATGGTTTGTAAATCTGGAATCCAAAAATTTACAACCACACTGCCACTGTGTACAAGTCTTATAAAGCAGCACACCTCCAGATTCATGCTGATTTTCATAATTGATTATAAAGTATAAAATTGTGGAGTAACCAAAAGGTAACAATTTGCACATTATCAATGGCACTTATATTTCATGTTTAATTACCAAAAAGAGGTCAAATTATGCATAAATAGCCCTTACTACGTTAGTAACGCAGTCGAAATATAGATATAATTCCTGAAAAATCGGCCACTAATTGCACATAACATGTCGATTATTACTGGAAGCTTGAATCTTTTACTTTTCCAAAAATCTTAGTACATTTTTCTCATGCTTGATTTTATTGAAATATTTTGGCTCATCTGGAGGCTAGCAGCTTTAATGCCCATTCATTGGAATGCTTTCTCAGTACAATCTAACAATTAATGATCCTGTATGTTATAATTGAGGTTGTATACCACACTTAAGTGAAAGTTTATATATGTGTATATTTATGCTTCTAAACCAATTTTCAAACATTGACGAATATGTAAAATATGCTCTGCAAATATTAATGCACATTATTTGTAATCATTAAAATATATGCATTCATTTCTTATTGAAATATTTGACTAAGACTTTATAGAAAATAAATTTCTAATAACCTCCCTTTATTTACATGAAATGTTAAATTCGGTAATATCTTTATAAATAATGCTTTTTGGAACGTTCAATATTGATAAATCTTAATTTGAGTATCATATCTATGATATAAAACCATGAAAAAATTGTGTTACAGGATCTTTAAGCTGTTAAATAAATTAAACTTTTCCACTAACAGGTGATTCTGATACTGATGAGATGAGATCAGCCGATGCTAGAGAGATGGAAATCAAAAAGGTTTGTTTAACTTGCTTAATATAAAAAATTAACGCCTTACGTAATCACAAAACTTTAAAATTTGTAACAAGCAGACACAGATGCTGAATTTATGTGAAGGATTTGTCTAGCTTTGAAGCTGTCCATTCACAGTTTAAGAGATTTATTTAGATATTGAAAATGAGTGCCTAGCAGTATAGAGCCTGGTCAGACTACATCAATATGTAGGCTCTATACTGATGTGGCAAATGCTGAACTCTTACGGTCCCAGCAAGTTATAGGCTAACATTGCTTTTAGTGTTTGTGGCCTTACCACTGCTGATATTATTTAACACCTAACCTACTCAATTTATTTAAATGAACTTGTCCAGCAAGCATTTATGGATCTGTTCGTAATAAATTATGGGGATATCAAGATGGCAATTTAAAGTAAAGTCAGAAAGCAGTATAGAGCCTGGTCAAACTGCACGGTCTTGCTGACGTGGCTCTATACTGGTGGCAAAGACTAATCATTTTCGGTTCCAGCATGTCACAGGTTAACAGTTGCAACCAAAATTGTATAGATCTATGACATCGCTCATTCATGTTACGTTTCAGGAATATGGTTTATGTTGACTTTTGAGTTAATTCTATTTTTAGCTGGAATCCCTACAACTGGCAGAGTTAGCATTAAGTAAACTGGAGTTCCTGGAAGTAACAAAGAAAGGACTTTCAAAACTACAAATTCTTCTTGTTGAACTTGAGGTTAGTAAGATATAAACAACTTATATTGTTTACAGGACCTTATTGTTAAAAACAATATTGTTTTTCTGGAAAAGAATGACAGTAGTGAATTGAAAAGAAAATTACAGAATCTTTTTGATTGAGACTGTTCATGAGAGGTATTTTAAAAAATGCAGCGTCTTTTATGTCCTGTAGCAACAGCCTAAGTTATACTCGTGAAGGCGTATGATTTAATCTGTTTCATTTCTGGTAATTTAATCAACAAATTCCTTTGCATCAACAGTAATTTACTCGATGGATACTGGCAGTAATAACTGACTGATGCCAGGTTAGTCGGCTCATCAATGCAGTCACACTTTTTTATTGGCTTCTTTTTTTACTTTGTTGTGTTTTTTGTACTTAGTGGCGGGCATTTTTTACCCTTGTCCGTCCGTCCGTCCGTCCGCACTACCGAATAGGGATAGGGGGCCATCTAACTGTAAACAGAACAAAGAAGAACGAGTTCATTCCGTAACAATAGAGTAAGGGGCCATTGGCCCTCTATTAAACAATAGAAAATAACAAAAGAAATGGCACCTTATTCCATTTCGGCCAGATGTCCGTCCGTCCGTCCGTTCACTTTTGTGTCGCACGTAACTCAAAAAATATTTGACCTAGAGTCATGAAACTTTACAGGAATGTTGATCAGCATGTGTAGTTGTGCACCTGGGTATTTTCGTGTGGATATTTTTAGTATTTTCAGAGTTATTGCCCTTGACTTAGTAAAATTTTGCGATTTTCAACTTGTGTCGCACGTAACTCAAAAAGTATTTGACCTAGAGTCATGAAACTTTACAGGAATGTTGATCAGCATGTGTTGTTGTGCACCTGGGTATTTTCGTCTGGATATTTTTTGTATTTTCAGAGTTATTGCCCTTGACTTAGTAAAATTTTGTAATTTTCAACTTGTGTCGCATGTAACTCAAAAAGTATTTGACCTAGAGTCATGAAACTTTACGGGAATGTTGATCAGCATGTGTAGTTGTGTACCTGGGTATTTTCGTGTGGATATTTTTAGTATTTTTAGAGTTATTGCCCTTGACTTAGTAAAATTTTGCAATTTTCAACATGTGTCGCACGTAACTCAAAAAGTATTTGACCTAGAGTCATGTAACTTTACAGGAATATTGATCAGCATGTGCAGTTGTGCACCTGGGTATTTTCGTGTGGATTTATTTAGTATTTTTAGAGTTATTGCCCTTCACTTAGAAAATTTTTGCAATTTTCAACTTGTGTCGCAAGTTACTCAAAAAGGATTTGACATAGTCATTAAACCTTATGGGCAGGTTGCTCAGCATATTTAGATTTGCACCTGGGGTTTAGCTTGTGGATTTATCCAGTATTTGTAGAGTTATTTCCCTTGACTTAGTAAAAAGATTGACAGAACAGTGGCGCGGTGGGGGCACCCGTGTCCTATGGACACATTTCTAGTTACAAAATGTCTTAAATGGACTTGTCAGTTTTTCATTCTTGACATCCTCCGATCTTAGTCTGTAAATTGGTAGATTTAGTTGCTACTAGAATGATAATGGTTCAAGTTCCTTAAACAACTATTGAACTGGTTCCAAATTGAAACTTGAGTAAGGCAAATTTAGTAGGGTAAGAAATAACATGAATATAATTTCATTTTTCTCTAGGACAAAATCATGGTTATGTTTTGTTTCAAATCCATTTCAGACAAGGCACCAAGACTGGCAAGCAGGAGGCCTGACAACAAATCATTTCCTCAGCAAATTAAAGGAAGCTAACTGGCAACTGGAGCAGTACGAGGCCAGTGCTGCACCTGCTGGATGGGCGTGTTCCTGGGACAGGTACAAACAATTTTTCCTCCTACTGTTTCATCATCAACTCAAAACATGGATCAGAAAGTTATGCCAGTTTTATAACCAAAACATATTCTCAAAATATTATACTTTGGCTGTAGGTTATTTGGTGTTATATTTCAATATCAGAAAGAATGCTGTTAAATAGAAAACAAAATTTCAAGAAATTCTATGGTTAAGATGGGTTACAAAACTGGGCATGTCTGATCCATGTCAAAGACTTATTAGGTCTGCTGTCGACAGAAAACGCAGGACATGCTGTCGACAGAAAGCTGGAGGAGAAATGTGCATTACAGGAAAAGGAGAAGAGTTCCATTGTCTGTTGTTCAAAACTGAAAGCACAGAAAAAAAGCTACATAAAAGGTATGAAGACAAACCCTGAAGAGATAGACCTGAAGTTATTGTCAAAAACAAAAGGTATGGTTTGAGGTTGGAGCAGAAAATGTGAAGTCGTGGCTTTTAGTAATGATGGAAAAGGCGGGATCTGCAGGGTAAAGCGTTGGGTTGTTAGGGAGGGGTGCCGAGATCTACAGGGGAAAGGGTTGGGGTTTTTGGGGAAGGGTTTGATTCTTTCAGGATACTGGTATATGCAAGTGTTAAACAGTGTACTGAGTGAAAGATAAAGAAATACTAGACTGATGAATGGCAAAGATTTGAAGAGAATCAAATTGTAAGTTACTTCTTTTAAATATTCTATTGAAATATATGGGATTTATTTTTTTCTTTTTGTTTAATTGACAAAATAAAACAAAAAAAAACATTTATTTTTGTTGTTGTTTATTACCAACAAAGTACTCATGGCTATATATAAATACTATAGTTTGACGAAAATTTGGTTACCCCAGAAGAAAAGATTGCCATCCCTTACCGCCTGTTCTATAAATCGTGACTTCAGAATCGTTTGTAACAACTCTTCCTCCAAAGGGGCTTTCATGGCCGAGTGGTTAAGGGCGTTGACTTCAAACCACCTGCCCCTCACCGCTGTGGGTTCGCATCGTGACAAGGATTTTGGATTTTTTCATGTGAGGAAGCTATCCAGCTAGCTTATGGAATGTCTGTGGTTCTACTCAGCTGCCCGTTCATGCCTGAGATAATGCAAGGAAGGGCTCCTGAGGTCTTCCTCCACCAGTAAAGCTGGAACGTCGCCAAATGAACTATACTGTGTCCGTGTGACATAAAACCTAAACAAACAAACAAACAAATCTTCCTCCAATTCTGATTCAATATTTTCATGAAGAGAAGTTGATTTTAAAGTGGATGGTAAGTACTGGCACTGAAAACAGAAAACCTGAACACTTCATTATAGATAATATTAGGTCTCCCAACTTTGACTTCAGGTCATATGTGTAGTACATAATATTTCATCGATGACTTAATTGAAAACGGTACCTCTTCAGAATTATTTTTATCACATATCACATCAACTGCGGCGCAGGAGTGTAATAAAGCCATTTAATGAAAAACAATATTACACAAGTGTAATAACACTTTGACGTGATGTCATTTGCGTTATATACAGAGTGTTAAAGGCCCCTAATGTTTAATAGCGTTACACTATAAGCGCGACTTTTTTTTTACTGTAATCCATTCTTATTTCGGATATGTTATAAATAGAATATTATATTCAAGTAGATTCAATACTAAATGTATTGAATAAGTTGATTAAAACAATATTATGCGAACCACTGTGGCGAGTATAATATTGAATTTTTCAACAAGTTCAATAAATTTAGTATTAAATCTACACTTATTTAATATCCTCTATCTTCCACAGCACATACAAGTACTGTATGTGAAGTAGCGGGTAGTTACTTGTGGGTATATATAGGAAAGTACTGGTACAGAACCCAGGAAAACTTGTTGGCAACAGCAGGCAAAGTAAAATAATAAATTATACAGAATGACTTAACAAAATTGAAGCAAGGCCTGGTGGTAGACACATCAGACAAGTAATTAAATGAGCCACGTCATGACAAAACCAACATAATGGGTTTGCGACCAGCATGGATCCAGACCAGCCTGCGCATCCGCGCAGTCTGATCAGGATCCATGCTGTTCGCTATCAGTTTATCTACTTGTTATAGAGTTGGAAAGCGAACAGCATGGATCCTGATCAGACTGCGCGGATGCGCAGGCTGGTCTGGATCCATGCTGGTCGCAAACGCATTATGTTGGTTTTGTCGTGACACGGCTCATTAATGATTTCTGGCCATGTGTTATCAAACTGAAAATCGAACAAAAAGAAAACAATAGACTTTAATCTGTTAGACCAAGGCTCCTGTTACAACAAAGAAAATAATAAAAGTATTGGCATGCGAGACTATTATAGTGGCATTGTCCATGTGAGTCGACATGGAGTGGATGACGTACGGTTATTTTAAATGTCAACGGAACTAAAATCTGAAAAATTGAAGTGATAGTAAAAGTGTTATATTTTAAAATAAATTTCACATTGACTTCATCTTCGACATACGTTGCACAGAATGGACAAGATTACAATAAAAGAAGTTTAATATGATATATTTTGCTTTACGATTGATGGCCGGGATTCGAATTTTACCAACTATACATGTATAAAACAGACGTCTATGCCTGTCTATTTGGTTCATTTGCCTGAAATATAATGTGGAAACACTGAAAATTTGTAACAGATTTTATGGTTGTAAAATTAAAATGTTCTCAGCATTAATATTGGTCATGGAACCATTGAGTTTTAGTTTTGAAAATAACTGTCACCCATTTTGAATAACAATTCTACAAAGAGTCTGTGATTTGCAGCTGCTAATTTTACCTTGAAAACACAACTGATAAGAATAGCCTGTTGTCTGCTGATTTGGAAACTGTTTATTTGTGTCAAATCTTTAATGCAACCATTAAATTTGACCAAGAAGTTAAGGATCAAAATCTGGATTCAGGTAAATTTTAAAGAAGTTAATTTTCAGAGATTCAGCCTGTACTAGTACAGAATTTATAAATCCAAATTCTTCCAAAAATGCAAGAATGAATATTTTAATCTTAGAACTACATTTGTATTTTAATTAACTTGACAAGTTGACTACCAATTACCTGACAGACAATTGCATGGGTTATATTTTAGTTTTTAGTTTTTTATTTCAGATATTGGTTCAATGAGATATACTGGATTTTCAATGAGAGGTGGATAAACTCTAAATGAGACAGTTTTTTATTAATTATTGATGGTTACTTAAATTTTGCATCAAGTTCATAGAATTACAGGGGAGAATGCAGATTTTTTCCTTACTTCACAATAGCATAAACATGGAGTGATGCATGTTTCTCTTCGTTTTTATCAAGCATTTTAAGTTTTATGTATGATTTTATAAATGATTTTGAAGATATCCTGATTTAAAAAAAAAGTATTACAGTAATGCTGCTTGAACTCTATCAGTTAATCTGTTCGACTGATTTATAATAAATTACTAAATTAACTTCATTATTTAAGAAATATTATCAAATATATTTCTGTATTTTTTCATATTTAAAAAAAACTGTTGAAAATTCAAGATAAAACTTGTGAAATTGCAAAGATTTCCCACAATCTCCCAATGATTTTGTATTTAAAAAAAAAACATGTTTGAATTATCATTTAATATTCAAGTAATATATGATGTGCCATTTTAAACAAAGTGTCCATATTAAAATAATCTATAAAGTTATATTAATTTAATTTTTTAATTAAATTTAAGATATTCAGAAGACAGAACTAGGGAGTAAGCAGTAACAGCTCTAGTACATCATGTGATAATTTTAGCCAATCACATATTGTGCACTTTCAGTGTTATTTCCATGGGGAGTAATTTAGCAGTATAAATTTATATACCAAAGGAAATGCAGTCAGTCAGAATATTTGTTTTTTACTTATTTCTTAAAGCTTTTCTCCAGTGACCATGATGATGGGATAGTGCTGGGGCTATTGAAATTCATAAAAATCTTCTCTCTTTTTTTCTTACAGATTGAAACTGCAACAAGAAATATTACTTTTTATTTTTTCAGCCTATGTAAAATTGAGATCCTGCATTATATGTGACCTATATGTCAAATAGATGAATAGTTGTTTCACTACTGACCAATTGTGTTCTATTTTTAGAATGGTAGGCTGGGTTCACATCTCTTGAAAACTTGTCTATGTCTTTTGTATACATTATGTTTTGAAATTGTCTTTTCACAGATAAAATTTTATTTTATTGGCCTTCCCCCTATCTGTTTTGTAGGAAATAGATACTAAGTTTGAGAGAGTGGTTATAGAATAATACATGTTTTGAATTCAGATGTGCAGTATAATCATGCAGTTATTAATTATCAATGTTTATTTCTATTTAGATGTGCATTATATACATGCAATTATGAAGGCTGGTAGGCCTGATATTGACAAAGTATCTGAATGATTAGCCTTTGATTGTACTACAATGCAAGAAAAAATGAGAACTATTTCCATTCAAACATGCTAATAAACAGAGATTTGAAATATTATGTTTAATTTCATTGAGTAGAAAAGTAATTTTTATGACAACATTTGGTTAAATGATGACACATCTGACATACATGTATGATGTAGAAACAATGATTTCCTGATTTTGTGCCTTAGCTCTGTTTAATGGATATTCTTGCATAAAAGCTGCACAGGCAGGTGTACATTAAGAAAACATACATTTGTTGCATGTTTTTTTAATTTTTTGGATATGCATGACTCAGGGTTGGTGCCATAGTGATGGCCTTGGGAATTTCATTATCAAAACAACTGTCAAAGGATGTCGCATTTGAAACATGAAAAGCATGATAAACTGTTCTTTTCTTATAAGAAACATTGAATCAGATGGATTTATGCAAAAATAGCGCTAATGCACTTTTTGCGTGCATTTACATCCGCAGAAGACCTGAAACTTCATTAAATCCATCACGCTGTGGGCTAGAACTTTACCTATGTCCTTGTGCTTCTTTAGATGTCAGTGCATGAAAAAATGTGGATTAACTTTCTATTCTAATTATCAGTTGTATTTAACTTTAAAAAAAGATATAAGGTTTTTACCTTACTGTTCTTGTTATAACTTATCAATGTTTATTTCTATTTAGAGGAGTTCAAGACTGTGTTATAATTGCCTTCAAAATTGTACAATTTATTTTTTCTTAGAGAGAAACAGTTGTGACAAGCTTCCAAAACAGGATGGTACTTCAGACTCTACTGTCACACGGCTATATCTACCCATCATGTTCACACTAGCGCATCAGTGGTGTTTTGCTTTGTGTCTCATATTTTAAAACAATAACTCACCTTGATTGTTTATACAGGTGGCAGACAAAGTGTGGACGTTTTAAAGGAAACAAGGAGATCTTTCTGACTCTGACATGAAATACAGAAATTTTGAAAAGTGTAAATGAATGTTTTTATATATGTTATAATAAATGCATTCTTTCTTAACTACAGGGCTCTAAATATTTCTGTGACGTTATTTAAAAAACAAAATGTATTAATATGAATTTTCATTTCTTCGTGACAATATTTTTATGCATTTAATGCTAGTTTTTCTTTTTGTCTTTAATGATTAATACAGGATTGTAAATAATTTTTGTGGCAATAATTTAGAAAATCTATTTTTATATAATGTTTTACACTTAATGAAAAGATTTTTTAATGCATTATAAGGTATTCTAAGATTTACTTCATTCATTTTATATACCAATACTGAAAAAGAAATCGTTTAACAATTTGAAAAAAAAATTTAATTTTATTTCAACCTATATAAGATACATGATTGTATGAACTTTGTCTGAGCTAGCTTTATGACTGGTAACAAATATTTAAGAGGATAAAGTGCCTTGTAAAGATGTCTGCCTTAAACCCAGGAAATGTGGGTTTGAGCCCTGAGAGCGTGCCTCTCTACCCAGGAAATGAGGGTTCAAACCTTTGAAATCTGCCTCTCAACCAGGAAACTATGGGTTCAAGCCCTTCTTGGAACATGTATGACACCAGTACTGGTTTGTTTCAGAAAGCAGCCTTGAGAGTGGTTTCTTCCTAAGCTACATGATATTTGATTGCAGTATGATATAAAGCAACAGGTCTATTGCCCAATTTTCAACCACCAAATTTAAAAGTGAGAAATTGGCTGTTAATTACGGAGAAACAATTTAGTACTGGCTTTGAATTTAAGAGTTCTCTACATATATTTCCACCAATTTATAACATTTATCTAGCTACAGCTTGTACTGCAAAGTTTATTTTATGTGAGAAAAGGAACATTTCAATGAAATATGCAATATTTCTTGTTATGTGAACTAACTGTGCACTCTGGTAAAATATGAAAGTTAGAATATAACATTTTTACAATCTGACATATTAATTGTTCAGATAATTTACAATTTTTATTGCTTAATCTAACGAAGATAATTGGAGACATTTTAAATATTTTAAATTGTTTTATTAAATATTAGTAAATTATTAAATAAGTTATTAAATAGACTGGATTTTTATGACTGTTAACTTTGTTAAAAAGTGACGAAGGAAAAATAAATTTTAAGTATACACAAAATAAGAAAATTCTAGAATGTTGTAGATGAATAAAGGAAATGCCATAAAATGGATATGTTATTAATAAGAAAAAAATATATACATGTAATGGAAATCTGGACATGTACACAGAATGGAACCAAAAAACCCCATATTTCGGAACCATAAATTTTATCCGAGTGTTTTCTACTCTGTTGGTGTTTTTACCATACAGAGATTACAGGAGGTATTTCTACACGCACAAGTTGACTGGCAAGAACCAATGGGATTATCCCGATGCTGATGACATCAGAGTGGAGAATGAGAAAGCGCAAGATCCGAAGAAGAAGTTTGTGCGCGGGAAAGAAGTTGAGGAGGAGATCAGCTCAACAAGTGACAAAGGAAAAGGTAGTGGTGAGTATTATCATAGTTTTTTAGGCTTTCCAAAAGGGAGAGCATATAGTTGCGACATTGTCTGTCTATCCATTTGTCCCTCCATCAGCTTCTTGTCTGGTAGATAACTTTGAAATCACAAGAGGTATCAACATCAAACTAAGCGCATAGATAGATCTCATTTAATAGAAGTGCAGTGCATAAGAACCGTAACTCTGCCTTGCATTATTTTGGAGTTATTGCTAGAGCTGTCATTGATATCGACAATATCGATGTATCGTTGATATTTTTTTGCCAATCAATAATCGATACACATTTTAAAAAATCGATACTTTTGACTTATAAATTAAATGTCTAGAAATTATAAAATTCACCCAAAATATATACAGAAGCAGTTATTTATATCTATTGTTATGCTTTTGTTATATAGTGGAATTATTTCATAGCAATGGTGACAAAAATATTGTCTTGAAAAAATCATGCAGTGGAGAAGATACTGTACAGAACATGTTTTTGACTGAAATCATTGAAACAGGTATTAAAGTGAATGACAGACAAGTGAGTACAGGATATTATCGATATATCGGTGTATCATTGATTTTAGTCACTTGATATCGATATATTGTTGATATGCTTTGCACTGAATTAATGACAGCTCTAGTTATTGCCCTTTTTTGTGTCGCCTTGAAAAGGCGACATATTGGGGTTACTTTTGGCGGCGGTGGAGTCGGCGTCCCCTAAAGCTTGTCTGGAAGATAACTCAGTCACTATAAGACTGATTGACTTCAAACTTGGTATGCATGTTTCTTTCAATAACACGAAGTGCAGTGCACAAGGACCGGTACTCTGCACTTCTTAATTTTTGAGTTATTGCCCTTTGTAAATTTTCATACTTAATTTTGTCCGGGCCATTTTTCTTCAACTATAAAAGCTATGGACTTGAAACTTTATAGGATGATAGATCTCATTAAGAAGAGGTGCAGTGAACAAGAATCAGTACTCTGCATTTCCTTATTTTTGAGTTATTTCCCTTTGTTAATTTTCATACTTTATTTTTGTCCGGGCCATTTCTCCTAATGTATAAAAGCTATGGACTTGAAACTTCATAGGATGATAGATCTCATTAAGAAGAAGTGCAGTTCACAAGAACAGGTACTCTGCATTTATTATTTTTTGAGTTATTGCCCTTTGTTAATTTTCATACTTTATTTTTGTCCGGTTCATTTCTCCTCAAGTATGAAAGCTATAGACATGAAACTTCATAGGATGATAGATCTCATTAAGAAAAAGTGCAGTGTACAAAACCAGTACTCTGAATTTCTTATTTTTGAGTTATTACCCTTTATTAATTTTCATACTTTTTTTTTGTCCAGGCCATTTCTCATAAATTATAAAAGATATGGACTTGAAACTTCATAGAATGATAGATCTTATTGATAAGAAGTGAAGTGCAGTGCATAAAAACTGCTGCTCTGCACTTCTTATTTTTTGAGTTATTGCCCTTTGTTAGTTTTCATATTTCATTTTTGTCCTGGCAATTTCTCCTAAACTATATTGTTCACAAGGCGACACATCCGACTCGCGGAGTTCTAGTTGATTTTTACACTTTGAACTTTGTCTGGGACATTACTCAACAAGAAACTACTTCTCTGTGTCCAAAACCTATTTTGGTAGCATCATTAGGTTTGGCAGGCTCTTGTTTCTATAGCTCTGCAATTGCTTTCCAAGTTATCAATTGGCCAGTTTTACCAACACAGAATGAAACCAGTCTAAACACTTTTTCGTGAACCAATCAATGGATCATCCTCAAATTGAGTCTGTGACATCTTTTATTAATTTGCTTAAGTAATATTATTTGGCAAAAAAAGGCAGCTAGAGTTGGAAATAGAAAAAATACAATTTTACTTGAACCAATGGATGTATTGGCATCAAATTTAGTCTTAATAACTCTGGGAGACCTTTTACCAGATAAGTACCTTATCTCAAACCTTTATTCATGAGCTGTATATTATTCACATGAAGTGCCTATGATGTCATCAATGCTTGTGCACAAAAGCTTTAATTCTGACTGACATGTCTGCTGCTGTCAAATGAGAACAATGCAAAGGAATGGATATAAACATTTTATATTTTATCACATAGTGTAATTTCATTGGCTAAGGTGATTACAAATTTATATATCCAGGTTTAGATAAGGATATTTTAGCAAGTATGGCCCTGCCGCCACCTCCGCCACCCCCAGCAGAGGAACATCCAAGCGTGAAGAGTTTACAGCTGATGTATGGTAGTTCTAGTGAAAGTGATACAGAAGAACCATCCAGTAAAAAGTAAGATAACTCTTGCATGTACAGTCAAACCTGTCTACAGAGGCTTTTAGTGGGAAAATCGAAAAATATGGTCGTATTTGAGAAATGGTGTTTGCAGAGCAAAATTTACTTTAGTTTATATGTAAATGGAAAGTTTATTTAGGTTTTCCTATATATAGTTTTAATAGGGATCTGAAATACAAGTTTGACTGTAAATCAGTATATTATTTGTACCAAAAGTAACATCTTAAAAAGCTTACTTGAGGGTGAATGTCACTTCCTATATAAATATTCAGTAATACATATTTTTAAGTGTAAATAAAAAGTTCATTTACAGCACTTTGAGTTAATTTTTTATTTATTGGAAGGAAATATTTTTGTGTGTTTTCATGTAAAGAAGGTATTGTATATATAGAGCTGTCATCGATAGAGACAATATCAATGTATCGTTGATATTTTTCTGTAGATCAATTATCTATACACATTTGAAAAATCTATAATGTTGATTTATTATTTACATGTCTGTAAATTATAAAAATTCACCCAAAACATAATACAGCAGGTGTCAATGTCTAACACTAAGCTATTGTTACATAATGTACTCATTAAAAGATGGTCAGAGACAAAAGCATGCAAAGGACATTTATAAAGTAGGCACAACATATTTGTATGAACAGAACATACATTTTACTAAAGTCATTGATGCAAGTATGAAAATGAATTGTATACAAGAAATTAGTAGCGATTATCAATATATCAGTGTATTGCCGATATTTCTCATCCAATATCGATGTATCGTCAATATGCTTTGCACTATAAACTGAAACATACTACACATCTTTACCTAGTCTCTCTATCTAATTATCAGGCTGAAGAAGGAGGTAATAGAGAAGTCAGATTTGAACACGGTACCTTTACCACCGGACGAGCCCATGAAGGACAAAGAGAAGAAGGACAAACATCACAAGAAAAAGAAGAAAAAAGAGAAATCAAAAAAGAAAGAGAAGGAAAAATCTGATGCAGGTACAGATATAGGTTAGATAGTGAATAAATATGTAGCCTGGCAAAGAAGTTAAATTGTCTCTCTTTATATTGAGGGTTGACCTCAACATATTGAGGGTTGTACTCAAAATATTGAGGGTTGGCCACAGCATATTAAGGGTTTGCCTCAGCATATTGTGGGTTGACCTCAACATATGAGGGTTAACCTCAACATATTGAGGGCTGACGGCACTATATTGAGGGTTGACCTCAACATATAAAGGGTTGGCCTCAGTATTTTGAGGGTTGGCCTCAAGACTTGTTTCATATAAGTTACTGCTGTTTTCCAGTCAACCCTCGTTATTCTATTTAAACAATCTTGAGGGCTGACGGCAACATATTGAGGGTTGACCTCAACATATAAAGGGTTGGCCTCAGTATTTTGAGGGTTGGCCTCAAGACTTGTTTCATATAAGTTACTGCTGTTTTCCAGCCAACCCTCGTTATTCTATTTAAACAATCTTCTTGGAACAGTCCATTATTTGTTTATGGGGATATCAAGATGAAAATTTATAGTGAGTCAGCCAACACAAAAGAGCCTGGTCATACTGTAAGGATGTGCAGGTTTGCCTGGTCTGTAGGTGCTAGCAAATGCTAATCACTTTTGGTTCAAGCAGGGAAAAGGGTAAAGGTCACGCATTTCAAGCGCTAGTGACACGTATAACTTCTCTATACCAACAGTATGTACACTGTCCGACCTGCACATTTGTTATCTGCTCAATTGAATAATTTTTTCATCTTGAAACAAGACAATAAGCTGTTTATCTTTAATATGGATTGTTTGTGGTTTCTTTAAAAGCCCTTGTATTTTTATTTACACAAAACCATAAAATTAGAATGCCTTGGGCATTTGTGAATTCTTAAGAAAGAGTAGGACTCAAAAGGTTAAAATATATGGTATTACAAAATATTTGCAAGTTTCGTTCTGGTTTGAAAAGTAAATACTGTAAAATGTAACCCTGTAATTCTTTGTAACAGTTTTACAAGTAAGATTGTGGTAGATTGTTAGTTTATACAGAATTTATCCTAGTTAAATTGTGTAGGAATCTATAAGCTTATATAATATGAACAAAATCTCAAATCCATTTCTAAGAACCAACCAGTACTAAGCAGCAGGGGTGAAGTTCCTGTGCTGAAGGAAAAAATGGCTTGCCCCAAGTGGGGTTTGAACCAGCACAGCTAGCCACTTTACTAGTCTGACAAACCAACCAGTACTAAGTAGTAAGCAACAGGTGTAAAGTTTCTGTGCTGATGAAAAAAAATGGCGTGCCCCTGATGGGGTTTGAACCCACAAAGCCAGCAATCTTTAGATTACTAGTCAGACATGATGACCGTTTGGTTTTGATGCCACTTTGTAGATTATTGTTTAGAATAATCAGTTTTTATTTCTATGTTTCCAGGGGTGATAGGCCCATCTGCCGGTCCTGCTAGTTCCATCTTTCCTCAGCTGGCGGCTCAGCCTCCCCCACCACCACCCGGAGAGTCGACAGATAACGTAAGTTCTGACCTCTACAACACGACTACAGCCGAGGCTTATATGGCTTCAGGTGGACTTACCCATCAAATACCTACAGAGGTAAATTTAGAAAAAATGAACATCGTTTATTGATGATAGCTTTTGTAGATCAAACTTACTCTCAAAAAGAGAGATATTGAATATGGGTTATAATTACACTATCATGATAGCATTAGATTGATTAAAGATTGTCAATATGAACTTGACCAGCGATACACTCTGTAGACTTGACTTGGGTTTGACTGTACACATATGACTGAAAAAACTTGACTTTGTTTGACTTATGAAATTTGATGTGAAGTTTACAAAACAGTATAAACTGTATGAAGACTTGACTAGTGTCAAGAATTGATTTTCTGTAGACTATGAAGACTTGATTTGATATTGACAATAAAGACTTGAATTTTGATGGACTTGAGAAATACTATATGTGACCTTTGTTGATTGGTAGTTTCTCAAAACAGGTCACACATAACAAAATTCACATGGTTGAACAAGATTTGTTCTCTAATAATAAGTTCAGATGTTGCATGGTTTAAAGTGAACTGTTTTAAGAAAGAGTTGCATGTTCAGGATGATGTAAGTCTGTCATTATGAATGAAGTTGTAAATTCATTCTCTGCTATGAAAAAAATTGTAATTTAGTAATTTCTTTGTTAGCTATACTTGATATGTAATTTTCAAGTAAAAGCATCAAACGGTGGCAGTCATTACAGATAGAAATAATTGTCTCTCAGAGCAATTATCAGTGTTGCAGTGCAGCCTGAAACATTTACATTCCAACTAGATTTCAATGGCAACAGGAATAACAAACAGAGGGGCACCTGAGGTCTTTCTCAACCAGAAGGCTGGAAAGTCGCCTTATGACCTATACTGTGTTGGTGCGACGTAAAACCCAATAATGAAAAAAAGAACAAAGAAAACCAATGAAAATATTTTTTCTTTAAATGTATAGAATTACCTAATATTATTATACTAGAGTGTAATATACTTACAGTATCTGTGTACGCGTCATGATGATAGGCCAGGCAGGCCAGTATATAATTGACAGTCGTCACCCTTCTTGAAGTCTTGGAACATTCCAGTATACCGGAGCTCTCTTTAAGATGGGCTTGTAAACAACCGTGACGCCCCCGTACGGAATAATGTTGATACGCCAGTAATCTCACATGGACCACAAGCTGATACAGTATCTTCATCCAACCAAACTTACATAGTACTATTTTTCAGCTATGTTATATTACTTGTTGATTGTTGTCAATAAACCTGAAATCGCTCTTGCTTAATTAGACTCATATTCTGTCTTCCAATCTTTTACAATTTTTTCACCTGCCATCTTGATTAATTGAAGTTTCTGTTTTTAAACACTTTATTTAAGGGTTATTTGCTAAACAAGTCTTGAACTTAATTTATCATTCGAGTCTGACTCTATCAACAATTAGTACTGGTGATCATATGAAGAAACAAATGGCGTGTACCTGAGTTATGTCAGAACCCATGATCTCATGGGTTCTCCAGAAGCAGGACACAGTTAACCACTAGGCCACTCGCTCCACTTCCTTTCACCACGCTTACTTCCCCTACCAGGCTAAGCTCAATAGATGAGAATATTGATTAGTAATTCAAGAATAGGTCGCTGTGTTTTATCCTCATGCAAAGACACAAAATTTCTCTCGTCGCGTGACAATTATCTGATCATGACATTTGAGTCTACTGGTATTTGTATTTCATAGTCATGATTCAGAATATATGTAAAAATACTAGTGGTCAACTTCGCAGAGAAACTGAGTTTATATTGGTTAATAGCCAGAAAGTAATATTTCTTGGGACAGTTATTTAACAGATTATTATAATAACTTTTTTGGACTAGATTTCTCTCCATGTCTCCTATTTTTGCCATATGGATGGTAATGTACATGTACATATTTATAGCCATGGTAATTTTTGGTAAATTATCCAGGAAAGGTGTTCAGAAAGGCTGACTGCCTTAATTGGACAAAAAAGGCATAAATGTATTGAAATTGGTGCAAAAACCAGACAAATGATATATCACAGATATTGTATTTTCTTTCCAGATCCGAGCACAGGGGTTGAACCAATCAGTGAGGTAACAATGGGCGATGCTTATGCAGAGTCTTCGACTAGTGTAGTCCCAAACACAGAGGAGAAAAAGAAGAAAAAGAGAGAGAAGGTATTTAAAGCAAATCCATATTTTACTGTCATTAAGCTGAAAGGGTGTTGTGGACTTAAATATTTGTTACGCCGTATGCTTGTCCCAAAGAAAAAAAAATACAGTACTACTGTTTCTGACTTCATGACATATTTCAAATGTCAAGAATGTTGCTTTTTGGTTGTTACCCAGATGTCTGCTTATGGCTAAAAAAAAAATATGTATAAGCTTTCATCATAGGTCTTTATTCACCATTTTAAATGAATTTAATCATGTGTAACTAACTGTTATTATACCCTTTATGTTAGCTACATAAACTCCAATTGGATGAAATAAAATTTATTGTAATATTAGTGATACTGAAAAATATAGATGAGAGAAAAGATACAGCCTATCTTATATTTTCCATCTACCACACAAAATTGTTTTACAAGGAACCTGTCTTATATATAGTAAATCTAAACATACCATCATTTTTTAGAAGGAAATTTTCAAAACATAGTCCATTGAATAAGCAAGCGAGTGCAGACACATGATCAATATCAGTAGTACAGATGATGCATCCTGGTCTTGGTCTGCATTGGTTGCATGGGTAAATTCTGTTGCGGCCAGCAGGCTAATGGTTAAAGCTTGTTATTAACCAGTTACATCAATTATTTACAGATGGGGTCAGGAAGTATATCGTTGAAAAAGAAACATGTATCATCGATGGTACAGAAATGGCAGAAAGTGAAGAAAGAGGTAGAATTGGAGGAACAAACTCGGCAGATTCGCGAGGCAGAAATACGCAGAAAACTTGCATAACCGAACTTGAGTGAACAGAGGCAAGGAATTCTGTGATAATTTGTCAAACTTGAGTGAAAAACTGCAAAAAGAGAACTTGAGTGACTTTTTTAGCAAAAATCTGCATTGATTTGAGATGAACAGTTTGCTGAAGTTGAGTGAAAAAACTGCAAAAGAGAACTTGAGTGAATCTTTTTTAGCAAAATAACTACATGCTCAGAGATTTGTACTTCAATGAAGTTTGGTGGAATTCATCTATCATTTTGCTTCTTTGAATCTTTCCTAAAATTCTTGAATTGACCATGAATGCCATATAGTAGTGAATTGTTGTGAACTTTACTGAATTTTTTCAGATTGATTATTCTGCAAAAAAGATCATCACAGCTTGAATTGAATACTCATAGTTTAGGAAGGCTGAGTTACTTGAATTCAATGTTATATTTTGTAAGCAGTAAATGTGATATCTGAAATTTTCTGGATAAGAAAAACAAATAAGTGCTGAAGGAATAATGGAATAAAAAATTGATTTGACTAGTTATAGCATATATAGAGTGAATTTTCAAGATATGGATTAGTGAAAGTCTGACGAGCGCATGTACTGTTAGTGTATATTTAACATTGAGTCATTGGCAATTTATTGAATTTCTGAAAACGAAAACTGTATTAAAATTGATGCGAATTTCTTAGAAATTTCACAAAAGACTTTTAAAACAAGGTTTATGGAATATTTGTTGTATATGAAGCTTGTATCTTGATAGTAAGATTAAACTGAATGATATATTTTTTGCTATGGTTACATGTATTGTAGGGTTTGAAACCGCATTTATTAGGTTGTTATGTAATTCTAGTCACATGACCGATTGTTTAGTCATGTGACCAGTGGTTTGTGTGGCCTCGTGTAATCAGAGAAACAAAATTTGATTGGCCAGGTTATATGAATCTGTCTTTTCTATTTTCTACTGTAAAACATGTTAATATTAATTTTCTCCATGCTCAAATTTTACAATGGACTTGTCCCTGCTTTGAATGTGGAACAGTCCATTTAAAGTTACAGGGGTTTCAGAACCAAAGTGCTACATTAAGCAGCCAGCAGTAGAGAATCTGGCTTGGCTTATAAGGCTATGTAGGATGACCTAAGTAAGATAATGAAAGAATTTTCATCTTTGTAATTATATAAAACTTTAAATTGAGTAAAAATCTATTATCTAATTACTCAAGATAATTATTCCATGCATATACCTTATTAAATAATCATACCTATCTGGCCTTGTACTGATTTTTAGGTTTATAGACTGCATATGATATGTTCCTTTTATGGAAGTTATACACATATCCCATGAAGCTCCCACTATGTCTTCCTTAAAAGAAATTAAAACTTGTGTTTTTTTAATGGAAGGAAGAGCAGACTAGGCATGTTAGAATATAGTAAACAATGACAGCCCTGACTACCCCCCCCCACACACTCAACTCCTCGTCCCCTAATCAATTCAAATAAATATAGTGTAATTTCCCTACATAGAATTTTTTAACTGCAACATGAAAGTGATTTGATAAGCCAATATCCTCAAAATAGGCTGCTTCATCCCCTTTTTTATTTTTTAAAACCTTCCCTTTCCACTCTTAATTGATTTCCTTTGTGAGAAAAAGACCACCCTATATTCCTTTTCATTTAACCATTCCAGTTTTGAATGAAGATACACCAGCTCATAACCCAGACATTACAGTTTTTATGTTAGCCCTCCTGCAGAATTAGGCAAATTTTTTAAGAAAATTAAAAAAAATAGTGTTCTAATTAGTAGATATGTTGTCAAGCGTACAAATAAAGAGATTAAAGCTCAGTTATGGATTACTGAATGAAATTATCCATAATGCATCATCTTATAAAGAAAAAGGACGTACCTGTGAAAACTACGGTAATTGTGTCTGTTAATGTGACAGATAATTGTCTTGTATATACATGTTATATTTACTTATAGCTTTGCGCCCGCACTAAAAGTAGTCGGAAGCCGATATGTGTACGCCTTATTAAATAAAGCGTTTATATATAACTATGCAAGGGACTTTATGAATTGTGATAACAGAGATTTATAACAAAAGAAATTAGCTGTTAACAATCTTGTTTTTGAGTTATCTGCCCTTGA